TTAGATCCCTCAAGAGCATCAGAGAAACCATAGAATCAATTAAGCTGTTGAAACCATAGATTCTTCATCCGTTGCTTCAATTCCAATTAAATCCAAAACGTTTCAAATCCAACAAAACTCAAGAGACATATCTGATTTCTTTGGCAGCGTAAATAGAGTTAAAAATCAACTAAAATCTAAGCTAGATTCACATGGAAGAAAGAGATCGCAAGCAATAATGAGAAAGCCAAAGCACAAAAGGCCAAGTTCAGAAACAGAGGGGACTACCTTGTCTATTTCGCCGGAGATGAGATTTGGGAGACAGAGGAGACGAGGATACAAAGGCGTAAGGAAAGGATTTCGACTTCGACTTCAAATCGCCGGACCTATGAATCGACAAAGAATCCATTTTTAGCGGATGAAATTCACAAAACTATGTACAGATCGATTTCTACATGGAAGAGATCTCGATTTTGGTGTTTTAATGGCCGGAAAACACACCTTAATCGGAGAAGATGATGACCAGGAAGCTATCGCCGCTTTGGAGAGGAAGAAGCAAAACCCTAGTCGCGATTTCGTTTTTTGGAGAAATGAAAATGTTTTCTCCTTTGCAAAAAAACGGATCCAATCACGGGCTGACACGTAGACAGGAACAAGGCTTAAAACAGATCTCGGGCTAGATCACTTCCTTCTGATCCAAGCCCACTATTCTTTTTTCCTCAATTTTAATATTACTAAGCACATGGGCCTAGTTCCCCCAATGCAGATGGCCTAATGTGTCAATGTCCCTTTAATATAATAATTATAAATATATGTACAGATAAAACAAGAAATAATATAAATATCTTGTTGTCTATGAACAAAGTTGTTGTGTCATGTGTGAGTGGGTGATTTGGTATCATGAGTTTCGGCTTAAACTCTTTTTAGTTTGCATAAAACTAGCCAAAAAAAATATTTAGCTCTGAGATTAGTTGGACGCTAAAACGATTCAAACATTCTATGCTAATAAATATACATAGTATGATAGTAATTCATATTTATGTTAAATAGAAACAAAAGATGGTTAGGCGTTTTGCAGTCTCGATCTCGCTAGTCGCTAGCGTGTTGGGGAACAAGGTGATGTAGTTACCACGTAATCCTTTTACTCGATTCGGGAGATGTACATGTCACCTTTTTGTAACCACCTTTGGAGTCTTTGATTTGTCTGATTCATAAATATCTCTCCATCTTTTTGCCCATTTTTTATATGCCGTTTTTACTTTGGAAAAAAATTCTAAAAACTAAAAAGGAATATTCGAATGATATGATTCAATAATACTGCCAGACACATAATTCCCACGAAATTCGAAATGTCAATTTACACTAGTTTTGGTTAGGTGTTCCACGTATTTTAATGAAATATTTAAAAATTTATACACTAATTGTTCTAAAATATTTTAGTAAACTACAAATGTTTACAATTAGAGTTAAAAGTTCGTGAGTCATTACATCTAAAATATAATAGAAGTTCTTTAAGGAAATATAAGACAAAAACTAAAAAATCAAGTTGGCCAAGAAAATTTACTTACCATTTAGTAATTTGATAGCGAACAAACAACATGGTGTTTAGACCGAAACCATCACAATTTATTCGTATATTTATTTAAAAAAAAAAGAAAAGGAAATCGAGTCTCTTGATAAAAGCTTGTTTATTCGTTATATATATAAGACAAAAGCAAAAGAAGCTTGCATCATCTCGAAACTAGTCGCACTCTCATACACATATTACACATAAAGACACTTAAACACGATCTTACTTAGACAAATATTACACAAGTTATATATATTCAACTTCAAACTCACACTCACATCAACAAGTGGCTGATCTCTTTGACTCCTCGGTTCCTGCTCCTCCCGTGGCAGCGGCTGCATCCGTACGTGCACACCCAAAACGTCTCTCTTCTCTAACTCTTCCCCACTCGTGCAATGATATGTGTAATCTTTTACCGGCGAGCAAAAACTCAGCCGCTTGAACCGGAGTAACAACCTCCACGATTTTCCTAAGCGTCTCAAACCTTAGCTTATCAGCTTCCGTCATTAAAACCGCCATGCCCTCCTCGTGCTTATCTAAAGCATCCTCCACCAGCACGTCACCATCCACCAAATCCGTGGCGTAAGCCGCGATGGCAATAGGCATATCCGCAACATCCTCTTGCAGATTCGCCGATTTCTTTGTTATCTTGTCTTCTTTCTCTATAACATTCATATGCAACTCATTGATTTTCACAAGCTGTGTCGCGTTAAGATCACTCATGGAACCACCATGGTTTTCTTCGACGTTTTCATCGACCTTGAGAAGATACTGAGAAAGCTGCGTTTCGGCTTGGGATCCAAAAAGAGAGTAAATAACTCTAATGAAGGACGAAGGACGACATCCTCCCATCCATAGTAAACCGTTCTCTAGAGAAGAGTTCCACGACGGTGCAAAGTAGCTTGAGCAGCTTCGGCGAGAGAGCTCGGAACGTTTTTCGGTGTATTTTTGGAAGTCATTGACGATTTTACCAACGACTTCTTCAAGCTTGTGATCGTCTTTGGATCGATGACTCGTGAGTACTTCTTTGAGATCAACTATGTGGGTAGCTTGTACACTCATCCACTCATAGTAACATCCTTTTTGAAGTTGTTCAATCTCACAACTCGAAGAACTGGTCGCCATCTCTCTTCGTTGGTTAGTTCGTGAATATATTTTAACGTTACTCTATAGTCTTATATACACTGGATTGGTGCATGTATGTATAATGTTTTATAATACAGAATTATAGATAGGTGTATTAAGTTTCTTTTTTTTGTCGTCAGATATTTTAAAGTAAAAAAGTGTAATTGTAATTATAACAACATGCATATGATGGTACGTGGAAACAAGATACGATGGGTTTTTGAAAAATCGTGGTTTATACCTTTCTTCAATGGAAGTTTGCACACAAAAAAAAAAAAAAAACCTTTCTTCAATGGAAGTTTCTCTCTTGGTTTGTGGATCTTTGCTTTTAGACGGAAGCAGACAAAATGGCACGGATGAATATACTAGTGCTTGACAAAATTATTTTGGACCTATTTCACTTTGAAAAGTATATCAAAGATACAAAATATCTCCCCGACATGAAAAAAAGATACAAAATATCTTCTTTTGTAGGAGAATTCCGTAAATAATTAATGGTTAACAAACATAAACTAAATATAATGTTTCAAAGTATTACTTTGAGCCTCATCATAGTTTATTTTTTACCTTTTTTGTTAATGGATATAACCTCATTTTATGTTAGACTATATTCCACGTGGTATTTAAAATGATGGTTTATATGATTTATCTCTAAATTAGTAAATTTCATTTTATTATTAGACATGTAAGATCAATATATATCATAATAGATTTTTTATTCAAAATGAATCGACAATTAACTCATTATCATATGTACTATTTATATAGTATATTTATTATGTAACATTTGATATTAATCAGACGAGAAAATGATGTATTTTAAACCGAACAAATTGCAGAATGCGTTTTTTACCTCAACAAAGATACAATGTTTTTAATTTTAACGTTATGACAAAAAAAAACTTGTTAGACTATTAATTTTGAGCGTAAAACTACATTAACTTAAAACAAAATTATTCAACCGTTTGTTTTCGCACGATACAATGGCGACGAGATATTATTTTTTCTTAACTGAAGAACGTCGTTTTGGTCATTTGAGTCAATAAACTCAATAAAACAATGATGTTTGGTTAAGACAAAATAACAATGGTAAAGATAAAATGATATTTTGTTGTCACCGTGTTGAATTTATGGACTCAAATGACCAAAACAACGTTATCACTGGTCGCCATCATTGTTGACTAGTTTTGTTTTAGTCTTAGTAAGTGAAAACAAATTGTTAACTAGTTTTGTTTAAGTCAATGTAGTTTTACGCTCAATTCTAATAGTTTGGATAGTTTATTTAAATTTTTTTAGTTATGAGATTGAAAATTATATTGTATTTTGTTAAGGTATAAAAACATGCCCTTCAATTTGTTGAGGTTATAATACATCTTTTTTCCTTAATTAGATGTGAGATTTTTAAAATTGAATATTTTTGTTTAAATAATTTTTGACGATCAATTAAAAATCACATAATGAGATTCTTTTAAGCTTGTAAATTAGCTTCTTTATCAACTTGCAGAACACATGTAATCGGTTATGTACTATACATAAGTAATGAGACTTGGAGTATAGAACACATGTAATCGGTTATGTACTATACATAAGTAATGAGACTTGGAGTATAGGAGTGAGACAAATAGAGAGTAGGATCATGATAGTTTTTAGCTAGAATCTCAGCCGGTTGGTTACCTTGGCCTTGGAGTCCAAGCATATTTGACTTCAAATTTCTTTCGTGCCATAGCCGAACGTCTCGTAACCAGTTGAAACAACCAAAGCTCTCTTTAGGTACTAACGAAAATGAATACACGGTCCAACTAGTTCATTTAACTTACTGTTAGACTGACATTGTAGCTGTAAAATACAAAATCCAATAACATTTCATTTTATACACAACAATGATAATAATCCATATGTCAAAATTGAATATCCGAGTTATATAAAGATCCAACCAATTACCAATTGCCAAATTATCGGATGTCCCGAAGGGACACCAATTATCAACCACCACTAGTTTTTTCACGTATTTGAATGAAATAAATAATATCTAAATATAATGTTCCAAATTGTTTATAATGTTTAGAAAAATTTTAATTTTATTTTCCAGGAATTTTTTACAACTAGAGTAAACATTATACTCTTTACATCTAAAAATATCAGAGAAATTCAATCAAAACAAAACAAGAAAAATCAAGTAGGCAATGGAAAAAGAAAAAAAAAATACAAATTTTAATCTTGCATGAAATGTTAAAAAAAATAGTATTTAGTAATTCGATTGTGAAAAAAATAATTCAAATAAAACAAAAAATCAAGGAATTTAGAACGAATCACAACTTATTTGTATTCATAAAAAAGTCGTCTATTGACCCTTCTTTTTTGTAGCTTTTGTTGTTATTCGTTATATAAGACAAAAACAAAAGACAAAAACAAAAGCTTATGAATGCAACATCTCAATATACATGAAGACACTAAACGTGACCTCTACTTAGACAAATATTACACATATATTATATGCTAAATACTCACACTCACTTCATCAAGTGGTTCTGTCTGACTTCCCCGCTCCGTCCCCCACTCCTCCACAAACATGTGCTCTAACTCTTCCCCGCTCGTGCAACGACAATTGTAATCTTTTCCCGGCAAGCAAAAACTCCGCCGCTTGAACCGGTGTCACAACCTCCACAATCTTCCTAAGCGTCTCAAACCTCAGTTTATCAGCCTCCGCCAGTAAAACCGCCATACCCTCTTCATGCTTATCCAAAGCATCGTCCACCGCTGCATCACCAAGCACCACATCCGCGATTGGCATATCCGCCACATCCTCTTGAAAATTCGCAGATGTCTTCGTAATCTTGTCTTCTTTCTTTATTACCTTCATATGCAGCTCGTTGATTTTTCCAAGCTGTGTCGCGGTAAGATCACTCATGAAACCACCATGGTTTACATCAAAGTTTTCGTCGACCTTAAGAAGATATTGAGAAAGCTGAGTTTCGGCCTGGGATCCACAAAGCACGTATATAAGTCTAATGAAAGAAGAAGGACGACATCCTCCCATCCATAGCATACTGTTCTCTATAGGAGAGTTCCACGACGGTGCAAAGTAGTTAGCGCAGCATCGGCGCGAGAGCTCTGATCGTTTTCCCGCATATGTTTTGAAGTCATTGACGATTTTACCAACGAGGTCTTCGAGTTTGTGATCGTTGTTTTGTTGACACATGAGTGCTTCTTTGAGATCATCTATGTGTTTAGTTTGTAAACCCATCCACTCTTTGTAACATCGTTCTTGAAGTTTTTCAACCCCATAACTCGAAGAACTTTCCATATCTCTCTTATTGTTTTTTTCGCTGGTTAGTTATTAAAACGTAGTTCCCCTATGGTCTTATATACATTGGATCGGTGCATGTATCTGTATTTTTTTTAATAAGTTATATGCATGGTTTAGCTTAATACGGCGGTACGTGTAATCTAGTCAATACGCGGTGGGTTTTTGTGAAAATCGTGCTTTAACGTTTATTAAATTGGATGTTTTCTCTCTTGGTTTGTGGATAATTGATTATATATGAAAACGGACAAAAATCGGATGAATGGTGCCTGACAAAATTGTTTTGGACATACTTCACTTTGAAAAATGAATTTAGAGATATATAGATCATATCTTCTTTTGTGGATTGTTATGTAAACCGTGGTTGGTGATCGAATTACAACATATGGAGTGATATATTCGAAGGGACGATTTAAAATTTACGGAAAACAAAACGAAACAAATTAAGTTGCAAAGAAAAAAAAAACATAAAATTTAGGGAAATGAATCAAAACAAAAGAGAAATAACCTAAATTGACACCCCTATACACAAGTACTCATTACATCTATAATTTACGGAAAACGTATGAAATCAAAACAAAACAAATTAAGTTTGAAAAAAAGCTATATATATATATATATATATATTTAAGTTGGTCAAAATATCTTGCATAAAAGTATAAAACGTACAAACTAATATTTTAGTAACTCCGACAATGAAAAAAAACAACTCAAATAAACAAAAGAATCATGGTACATAAAAAAAACTTGTGTGTATACAAAGAATTAGGCGTCTCTTCACTTTGGAGCTTTTCTTATTCCTTATGTAATAAGACAAAAGCAAAAGCTTATGCATGCATAATGTCTGTACACATAAAGACACCTAACATGATCTCATCTCTAATATATACGTACGTCTTGCGGCGGTTAAATCCTCCGCACGTGCAAAGTAGCTTGAGCAGCTTCGGCGAGCGAGCTCGTATCGTTTTTCGGTGTATTTTTGTAAGTCATTGACGATTTTACCAACTAGTTCTTCAAGCTTGTGATCGTCTTTGAACCGATGACTCGTGAGTGCTTCTTTGGTAATATTTTACATAGTAACATCCTTTTTGAAGTTGCTCAATCCCATAACCTGAAGCCGAAGAACTACCTGGCATATATCTCTCTTTCTGTATTATTTTCTTTCGTAGGTTAGTTCGTGGATGAAATTTAAACGTTACTCTATAGTCTTATTCTTATATACATTGGATAGGTGCATGTGTGTATTTGTTTTAATATGATATATATGTGCTTTGAGTTAAAAGCTGTAATTATAACTACATGCATATACGACAGTACGTGTAATCAAGATACGATAGGTTTAAAAAAATAAAAAAAGGATGCGATGGGTTTTGGCGAAATCATGGTTTAACCTTTATTAAATTGGATGTCTTCTCTCTTGGGTTTGTGGATCTTTGCTTTTTTACACGGAAACGGACAAAAAGAGCGCATATGAATTCACGTACTAGTGACAAAAGTATTTTGGATTATATCACTTTGAAAAATAAATTGAAGATTCAAAGATGACTTGTTTATATTTTTTTTAATTTTTTTTTTAAAATCCAAAGATGGTTAAAGCTCATTTTATATTGGACGAGATTCCTATTGAGGAATTTTGTAAAAATACACAAAGATTTGATTGATTTTTGAAAATTACACTTTCTTATTAATGTGTTTGAAAACTAATATCTTTTTTCTAAGTAAATTACTAAATTATCCTGATTAGTGGTTTCTAATTACTGCAATACCTAAACTTGAATTCTAGTTAAAAGTAGATGTATCCAAATATATACTGATAAAATTTAAAGATCACATGTATTAGGCATTCTACATACAAAAACTTGGCATTGACAATCGCAATAACATAGGCCTCAAGGGTAAATATATATATTTTTTATTTTTTTTCTCAAGGGTAAATATAAGCACTATTGTTTTCATATTCTCTCAGTCCAATGTAGAGTATCAGAGATAATTTAAAGTTATAGTATTATTACTGTGGGTCATGTCGTTTTAAGACTATTCCGACATAAGAACAGTTAACTGTTGAACTTTATTTATGGTTCGACTAGTGAGTATTATTGACACCTCAAAAGAAAAAAATGAATACACGTGACTTACGAGTTTCAACTAATTCATTTATCTTACTGTTAGACAGACATTATAGCTGTAAAATACAAAGCCCAACAACATTTTAATTTATGGGCTTAAACGACAATGATAATCCATTAATCCATGTCAAGAGAGAAAAAACGCTAATTGAGCTCATTTCTTCTTCTTCTTTTTTTTTTTTGGTTCAAAAAATTGAGCTCACTTCGATTCAAATTTATTTGAAATACGAAAAAGATATTTCAGCTCATTTAATGATTGGCTTTGGTTTAACAATTATCCCATGCAAATTTCTATCTAGCAAGAAGAGAATTGTACAGTAGCATCAATATTGATATTTTTAAAAAAGGATAGGCTATATTTGGTAGTAAATGTTGGTAAACAAAGAGCCCAACAGTAAATAGTAATGTAATCATAAAAATTAAAAGTTATGCAAAAGTATTGAAAAGAGGCTCAATTCAGTTTGAACTACGGAAGACTTTTTCTAATTTTATTTTTAAAAAATCACAATTTGTCAAATTTGTATTATTGATGACAACATGTGTGTGATCCATCACCTAATTTTTATAAGTTTTTTTTGCTAATTATTAACAAGTCTTTACGAAAATTGAATCCAAAAATACATCGCTAGATACGAATATATCAGCAAGTATAATGATACTGGAATAGTTAAAAAGTCGAAATGATGCAAACCAAAATTAACTACCTAGTGCCTAGAGCAATGTAAATTGTCTTTAACCCAAGCTTAAAAGTTAAAAGTGTTGACCAAAATCTATAAACAATTGTATAATTTGTAACGTATATAATCAATCATGTGATTGATTAGTTCAAAAAGGTAACCAAAAAGTCGATCTTACATTTATATAATTGTTAGGTAATTTATGGACACACATCAATTAATTAACATTATACTTTGAAAGTGTAAAACAGTGTTATAAGTGAGAGTATTTGAATAGGGCTGAGCTGTGCAAAGACCTCTCACTCTCTCTCTCTTATAATTCCCTCTTCACACATTACTTCTTCACTTAGAGGGAAAACATTTTCTCACTTACATTTCCTATTTTACCCTTCTTCTTCCTTCAAATCTCCCATTCTTTGCCATTTCACACAGATGTCTTCTTGAGTGGAGCAATGAAGACGACGAAGATGATGAAGAAGACGTCTCAGATCTTTGTTCTTCTTTTTACCTTCTTCTTCTTCTTCACAAGCCTCACTCACTCTCTTTCACTCACTTTCAATGGCGATCTCTCCGACAACAAAGTCCGGCTAATCACTCAACGTCAGCTTCTCTACTTCCGCGACGAGTTCGGCGACCGCGGCGAGAATGTCGTCGTTGATCCATCTCTCGTCTTCGAGAATCCACGTCTCCGAAATGCTTACATTGCTCTACAAGCTTGGAAACAAGCTATTCTCTCTGATCCAAACAACTTCACAACAAACTGGATCGGTTCTGATGTTTGCAGTTACACCGGAGTTTACTGTGCTCCGGCGTTAGATAATCGCCGGATCCGTACCGTCGCCGGGATAGATCTCAATCACGCTGATATTGCTGGTTATTTGCCTCAAGAGCTTGGTTTGTTAACAGATCTAGCTTTGTTTCATGTTAATTCAAACCGGTTTTGTGGAACCGTACCGCATCGGTTTAATCGGCTTAAGCTACTATTCGAGCTTGATCTCAGTAATAACCGGTTCGCCGGAATATTCCCCACTGTTGTACTCCAGTTGCCGTCGTTGAAGTTTCTGGATCTAAGGTTTAACGAGTTCGAAGGACCTGTACCAAGAGAGCTCTTTAGCAAAGATCTTGATGCGATTTTCATTAACCATAACCGGTTCCGGTTTGAGTTACCGGATAATTTGGGAGATTCCCCGGTTTCCGTTATCGTTGTGGCGAATAATCATTTCCACGGTTGTATTCCGACGAGTTTGGGTGATATGAAGAATCTTGAAGAGATCATTTTTATGAACAATGGGTTTAATTCTTGTTTACCGCCGCAGATCGGACGGTTGAAAAACGTAACGGTTTTTGATTTCAGTTTTAACGAACTGGTTGGGTCGTTACCGGTGAGTATTGGCGGGATGGTTTCGTTGGAGCAGTTAAATGTGGCGCATAATAGATTCTCTGGTAAGATTCCGGCGAGTATTTGTCAGTTGCCGAGGTTGGAGAATTTTACTTTCAGTTACAATTTCTTCACCGGCGAGCCGCCGGTTTGTCTCGGCTTGCCTGGGTTTGATGATCGGCGGAATTGTTTGCCGGCGAGACCTGCGCAGAGATCTCCAGGGCAATGTGCGGCTTTCTCTTCTCTTCCGCCGGTGGATTGTGGTTCATTTGGATGTGGCCGTTCTACTCGGCCTCCAGTTGTTGTCCCGTCACCGCCGACAACTCCGTCTCCAGGTGGTTCTCCTCCTTCGCCGTCTATTATCCCGTCTCCTCCGATCACTGTCCCGTCACCGCCGACAACACCATCTCCTGGTGGTTCCCCTCCTTCACCGTCTATTGTCCCGTCACCTCCGTCAACTACACCATCTCCTGGTGGTTCTCCTCCTTCACCGTCTATTGTCCCGTCACCTCCGTCAACTACACCATCTCCAGGTGTTTCTCCTCCTTCACCGTCTATTTCTCCTAGTCCTCCGATCACTGTCCCGTCTCCTCCTTCTACGCCATCTAGTCCTCCAATCATTGTCCCGTCTCCCCCATCAACTCCGCCAACTCCGATATCACCTGGTCAACATTCACCGCCTGTTATTCCTAGTCCACCGTTCACAGGCCCTTCTCCGCCATCGTCACCTGGTCCTCCTTCACCGCCTATTATCCCCAGTCCGCCAGGTTTAGGCCCGTCATCACCATATCCTGGTCCTCCTTTACCGCCTGTTATTCCTAGTCCTCCCGTTGTAACTCCGCCGTCATCACCTACTCCGGCTTACTCTCCTCCACCGCCGCCTACAGGTTACTCTCCTCCATCACCACCTTACTCACCTTCCCCATCACCACCTCCACCATACTCTCCTTCCACATCACCGTCACCACCTCCTCCGCCTCCGACATACTCTCCGTTCCCATCGCCGCCACCTCCTCCGCCGCAAACATACTATCCACCGCAGCCATCACCACCAACACCACCGCAAACTCCAATTTACTACACTCCCCCTCCTTCACCTCCACCTCCACCTCACTCGCCGTCATCGCCTCAATTTTCACCACCACCACCAGTCCCCTACTACTACAGCTCACCACCACCACCGCCACATTACTCATTACCACCACCACCACCTGCTTATCACTATATATCCCCACCACCTCCACCAACGCCACTACACACCCCTCCGTTACCATCACCTCCACCGTGCATAGAATACTCACCGCCTCCACCTCCAACAGTCCATTACAATCCTCCACCACCACCGGAGCATTACAGTCCTCCACCATCACCACCGGTTTACTACTACAATTCACCTCCACCACCACCGGCTGTCCACTACAGCCCACCACCTCCACCGGTAATTCACTACAGCCCACCACCACCAACTCCAATCTACGAAGGACCATTACCGCCGATTCCCGGAATATCATACGCTTCTCCTCCGCCGCCTCCCTTCTATTGATTCTTTTTCAGAATGTTCTCAAAAGGGTCCCACCACTTATGCCAAAACCCGAAGCCGAAACGGTGTCGTGTCGTATCAATGTCAATAACTCTTATCAGATTGATGGAAACATGTACACGGCGTCGTTTTCCCATTTCTTGGAGAGAGAGGTACGTGTCGGTGGTTGGGTATTCTCCGAAAGATTTATTTCGGTGAAAAAAACATCAAGAGGAGGAAATTAGGGGTTTGCAGGGAAAAGTTGTATTATATAGAGTAATTAAAATCTTAATGCTCCTTATATTTCTTATTAGTCTTCTTAATAATTTAATAATTATCATTATTGCTTAATATTTTTGTGTTTTTTTTGTCTTCTTCTTCTTATATATTAAACTATCTTATTTTTTTGGATTTCCATATTTCATTACTGCAACTTTTTGTATATGTTTGTGATTCTAGATTTTTATTATTGATCTATCTGAAGTTCCGAATAAAATATATGTATGTTTCTTTATCTCAATTATTCTGGTTCATGCATGAAACTTGTGTGTGAGTGTGAATCCGGTAATAAAGTAAAAGCATAATTGAATCCGGTCCAGCACCAAACGCATCGTTTAGGAAGAAGCAAGGCAATAGTAGGGCCAATGTCACATGTGCCCAGCACCACCTGACTGACTACTTGCTGTTGGAATTTATTACACCATCGGATCCTTGATTGCCGCTTTCAATTCTTTTATTTAAATATTAGTACTATTTTATTTTCTATTATTGTAGTACTTTTTCATTTAAGATTTGTACTTCTGAATTATTATGAGATTAGAATATTTATTATATACAAAAAATTATGCCTATTTAAATCAGTCGTAGAACATAAACTTGGGTGGAATTGAATTTTTTGGGTTTTATTTTACCGATGAGTTGCAAAAAAAAAACGGTTTGATTTTACCGATTTACTAGTTTTTAACTGTGTTGCCAGTGTTTGAATGTGAGAATGTCCTTGCCTGCCGACAATGTCACGAAAGAGAGACATTATGCGTGAAATGTTTCATTTTTTTTTACTATTCGTGTTGAAATCATAAGCTAGTAAAGGATGTGATTGAGAGTAATATTGATTAACTAAGTCTAAAAGCGAAATCTAAATCTCTAAAACATAAATTCTATGGTTGGTTTTACTCAAAAAAAAAAATCTATAATTGATCGGACAATTTATCTGGATAACTTGAATATAGGGTGAATATTGACCATTTCCTAAACAAACAAACAAAAAAATCAAATTGGGCTGTAAAATCCAATGAGAAGGATGGATGTTGTTAGGCGTTGTATGGGCTGTAAAATCCGAATGGCTTATACTTGGTCATTTCTAATGGACTCTTTCTCAATCTTTTTAGTTTTTAGTCTACTTTTTCTAATAGTATGCTCAATTTCACAATTTTTTATCATTCATTCATGATAGAGAAAAGAAAGCCCTGAATACACACGTATATACTCTTTGTCTCGAAAGCTATAAATTGGAGTGATGAATTGCTTAAATATAAGGTATAGTCGTTTTTGCAACAAACTCATTGATCTGATCCGAATGGTTTTAAGACCAAAAGAGTGCTTTGGCTTTTACTACAGAACTGGATGCACTAGAAGCTATACATAGTTCTGTTTCTTCTTTATGAATTTCGTATTGGTTTATGAATTTCAAACGCCTATATAATAGCAACGCATACTGTCTTGCCACAACAAAGTATGTAAGACAACTCTTTGAGAGATCATATCATAATTTAAATGTGGGACATTCTAAACACTACAAAAACGGAACACTAATTCTAATATGAGATCTTCTAACAATTATAATCTCGATCTTTCGACTTAGCCTACCTACATATCACGAGCTTATATATATATATAAAAAATAACATTTCACGAGCTGAGATGAAAAATTCAACAAAAAGAAATCGTAAATAGTTGTACTTGGGTCTTATATATACACACATGCGTCAATGTGTAATGAAAAAAAAATCATTTTGTCACTTAAAAAAAAAACAAATCATTTCCTACAAACTCAGTAGGAAATTAGTTAAAGTCAACGGAATGACAAGGTTAAAACAAAAGATAACTTAATTTTTTTTCAGTTTTTCATCTCTGTTACAAAGATCTGCTTGCATGCCGATTGTCACAAGCCAAGTACATGTTACGGGCCATGTCACGAATAACTCTTTTTTTTGGTCAGTTTTTCATCTATGTTGTCACTTTTTTTGTCGCCACAAAGATGTTTTTTTTTTTTTTTTTTTTTTTGCTAGAAATGTTAATATCATAAATATGAAAAGGTTTGGCTTTACAATGTAAGAGCCTATAGATATGAATCCTTGGCAAAAAAAACTAAAACAAGGAGACAAAAGATTTGGAAGTCACATAGGGTGAGTTCAAGTTAACCAAAGTTGCATAAGGTTACGATAATGCTTGCGCTTGCGTCTTGCTGTGATAATATTTCGGATCTCTTTGTCGATGATTTTGAAGATTAGAGCTGCAGGGATCGAGATAAGGTTGTGAACAACGTTATTTCTTTGCTTCCATATGTGATATATTGTTGATTGAGAAGCTATCTTTCGAAGGAGGGTCGGAGCAGCAAGCGATGAAGCTCTTTGCCATGAAAGAAGTTCAGCCCAAGTCACAAAAGAGCGTCTGTTAGGATCTATTTTAGCCAAAACCAGACGCCAAATATCAGAGCAATAGTCACAACCCAAGAGAACGTGGTCCCTAGATTCATCACATAAAGAACAGAAACTGCAGACCGGAGAAACAGAAATTCCCCAAGATGCCATCCTCTGCTTTGTTGGGAGTCTGTTTAGATGGGAAACCCACATATTAAAAGCAAGTTTGGGGATAGCACCTTTAAACCAAACTAAAGAATACCAATCAAATTCTTGCTGGCGTGGTCGTAGCACCTCCCAAGTTTTTGAGGTAGAGAAGCCCCTGCAATTTACAGAGTTCGCTACCCAAGAGTAAACATCTTCCCTAGATGAATCACCTGGGAAATTCATAGTGGTTAAGTGAGCATGCAGACTAAGGGAAATGTCAGATCTTGGATGAGGAATGTTCCAGCCTGTAGCGATGTAGGCATCTTTAACCCTTGAAGAAAGTGGCAGTCTTAGAGAACGAGGACCATCGGAGCCAAAACATTTGATTAAAGGACCCAAGGGGGTCCAAGAATCAAACCAGAAGCTCGTTTTATGTCCATTTCCAATGTCTGATTTCACGAACTGTTCCGCAACCGGTCTCAGCCGAAGGAGAGTTTTCCAAGTCCATGAGTCACTTTGAGTTTCTTTGATATCCCAGAATATCTTTGTCTTAATGTTATGGAACATGTGCCATTTTCTCCACATAGAATCACTATCAGAGAATAACAACCAAATGAATCTGAGGCATAAAGTAATGTTCCAAACTTTGAAGCTTCTCAAACCGAGCCCTCCTTCTTTTTTTGGAAGACAAACAGAAGACCATGCCACTTTTGCTCCGCAGCTGCCATCAATCTTTCCTGACCATAAGAATCTGGAGCAAAGCGACTCGATCTTTTTAATGCAGCCCTTGGGGAGGATAAACGTAGACATCCAGAAGTTTATTGTTCCATATATAACAGAGTTTATCAATTGAGCTCTTCCTGCAAAGGAGAGGCTCTTGACAGCCCATCCCCGAAATCTACACACAATCTTATCCAACAAAATCTCATATTCTGAAGCTCGCAACTTTCTGTGCATAAGAGGGAGGCCGAGATACCTTATGGGGAGGGACCCGATAGGAAATCCGTGTCTCGCAATGGCTGAGCTTTCAAGATTGTCTAATCCAGCATGAAAAAGTTGAGTCTTCTCCTTACTCATATGTAGACCAGACCAAGAAGCAAAATCATGCAAAGCTTCATTTATCCCATGAAGAGAAGCCTCACTCCCATCAAAAAAAACCATAACATCATCCGCAAACATCAAGTGAGATAGAGATATACCTGATGTTCTAGGATGATAATGGATATAACCTTGATCGAATCTTGAGCGTAACAGCCGCGAAAAAACCTCCATAGCAAGGACAAAGAGATAGGGAGAAATGGGATCTCCTTGTCTCAAACCTTTTGTACTTTTGAAATAGCCTGAGGAGTTTCCATTAATGCAAACAGAGAAGGTTGGGGACGTTATACATTGAGAAATCCAGCACACAAACTTTTCTGGGATTCCAAGAGAGCGCAAGGCAGACAAGATGAAATCCCAGTTAACAGAATCAAAAGCTTTTCTGATATCAACTTTGAGCATCCCTCTCGGGTCAATGTTCTTTCTGTTATAGCCTTGAACAATCTCTGTTGCCAGGAGCACATTTTCTGCAAGAAGTCTCCCGGGCAAAAAAGCAGACTGCGAGGGAGAAATAACCTGATCCAACAACCATTTCAAACGAGAAGCAAGCAACTTTGAGATAACCTTGTAGATTGTGTTTAAGCATGAGATGTTACGCCACAAAGATGTTACGTAAAAATGTGTATGATCACAATTCACAAGTGGATTGGGAATTCAGAATTATATAAAAAAATATGTAACATAATGGAATCCGATTCATATAACTCACCCAATACAAGACAAAAAATAATTTTAAAAAAATCACTAGAAATTCTAAAAATAACGTAGATTATAGTGATTATATCCTAAAATCTCTAATAAAACATTATTTTATTCATTAAAAGCCCATATAACCCCATTAAAAGCCCACTAAATGAACTACAATTCCGATACACCCCCTTTAGTAACGAAACAAAACAAAACAAAACAAAATTTTCTGAACTAAAATTCTAATATATCACACACACTATATAATTGCCAAGATCTGTCCGACCTTGGTTATTGTTATATTACCTATTTACATATTTATAAAGTCCAATCGACAACGATTACTCTCGAGCAACTTCTCCAATGGTATCACCACCACTAGCTTCAATGCGGCGATGTTCTCTTGATCTTCCCCAATCATGCATCGCCAAATGAAGTTTTTTCCCGGCGAGAAGAAAATCCGCCGCTTGAGCTGCCGTTAATATATCAACGATTATAGTCAATGTGGTCAACCTCAGCTTATCCGCTTGAACCAATAAACCAGCCATATCCTCTTCATGCTTATCAAGCGCACGCTCCACCGCCATGTCAGCTTGTCCGATCACTTCTTTGTAAAACGCTGCGACGGCGATAGGCGTATCCGCCGTGTCTTCTTGTAAGCTTGCCGACAGTTTAGTCAGCTTATTCTCTGCCTCTATCGTTTTCAGATGAAGCTCGTTGATCTTGATTATCTGTTCAGCCGTAAGATCACTCATAGAATCTCCTGCTCCGATTCCACCACGTGTCTCACCCAAAGCCATGCTTAGACCTATACGACGTTTGCGTAATATGTTTTTTCACTTTAATTTATTTGATAAAATGTTTTTTGGACTCTAAAACGCAATTTCAGCTTTGCTTTCAAAGAGACTTAGGCTACTCTGACTCTGACTTACCGTGGATGTCTTGATTGGTGTTATTGAAGAAGTTGGCTAAACGGTGCTCGGTTTGAGACCCACACATGGCGTATACGAGTCGTATAAACGAAGAGGGACGACAACCTCCCATCCAAAGAAGTGCGTTTTCAAGACAAGTGTTCCATGTCGGAGCGAAATAGTTTGAACTAAATCGACAGGAATGTTCTGACCGTTTTCCGGCGTAGTCTTCAAAATCTCTCATCGCTGTTCGTATCAAATCTCGAAGCTTGTCATCGTCTTTTTCACCGGTGGATAAAGCTTCTTTAAGCTCAGTCATGCGTTTTGCTTGTAAACTCATCCATTCGTTATAACAATCTTGTTGAAGTTTTTCTGTGTTTGAGCTTGGATTCTCCATTTTTTCTTCTTCTTGGGGTTTTGTAATCTCTATGCTTCGGTTTGTCCGGTTTATATAGTTTCAGATTATGCACCGGTACGAAACTTGCAATTAACATATATATATTATATATAATATATTTAACGTTTTATGATTATTTTTATGTTTAGGAAGTTAGAAATAAATGCCGATGTAAAAAGCCCAAAAAAAAAAAAAAAACATGCACGGAAGAGGACTTGTCGTTTTCGAAAAATACATTTGATTACATTTGGTCGGTTTATTAAAATCAGTTTATTTTTGATATTTTACTTAATAAATAAAGTAAATATTTGGTAGTATAGGCTTCTCTCTACAAACCGTCATCATTTTATGTCGGAATAGAGTAAACCTCTTCCCCTAAGTTACCGAAGTTTATATTCCATTTGATAATTTATAGGTTTATATTCCATTTGATAATTAGCAGTAAATATTTGGTAGTCTACTCTTCTCTCTATAAATTAATAATTTATACATGTATAAATTATCAATGGAATAGAATACATGTATAAGTTTTAAACTGATAATTAAAGAGCATATAATAGACGAGAAGACTGTTTTCTAAAAATACCACTTAAATTTCTTTTTTGTTAAATATCAAAAAATTAAAATTTAACTTTTAATCTTCAAAACTAAATCCTAAATCTTACACACTACTCTTAAAAACTATATCTTAAATCTAAAATAGTTAACTTAAACCTAAAAATTTAAATTCTGAACTTTTGAAAATCAGATTTTATGTTCGTAGAATTTTTTAGAGAACAAAATTTTTAATAGTATTTTTAGATTATTAAATTAAAAGTCGATTTTTTTACAATAAAACTTAAAAATATGGTATTTTAAAAAAAATTCCCATTAATTATTCAACGCTCTTAATGGTTTAACCGTTTAAATAACTCGCCGACCTACCAAATACATTGAGAAATTAAGTAAAAGGGTTATTGAAAGTTAATATTGTAGGCTTACGCTACACCTACACAGAGCATCTCCTATGTTGTCTCTTTGTCATGTTCTTAGTTCTCACTTGTCTCTTTGTACTCACCGACTCATTTGCTCTCTCCACTACATTTTTTTGTTGTTAAAAATCTCTTCTTTCTTTCGTTTATTTCTTCAAAACTGCCAAAATAAGAATGAAAAAAAAAGATTATGTGGCTCCAAATAAAAGTGGTACGTCAGTTAAAAATTACAGAAGCATATATAAAACAAGAAGAACTATTCAAGGATAAATTTGGTACAGATAAGCTGCGTCTATTTATAGTTTTGTGAACGTAGACACGTACATCGTGAACGCTTCCCTTCATGAGTTTTCGTGTAGGCTCGTCGACACGTGCCATACGTGTCTCGTTTTCCTGTTATTGCTATCACTTGACGTCAGACTGTCACTCATGCACACACGTGATTTTCATATCCAAACAAATAGAAACCAAATCCTTTTTCTTTTATTTTCTTTCTTTTTGGCTCAAATCGAAGTAAAATTAAACTTGAAAAATATTTGAGTACGTCTAATTTTTTTATATTTTACATAGGTTTATTTATAAACGAACAAAATTTAAACTGATTTTGGACCAAACTCTAACTTGAACATCAAGATCACCGATCTAAAAACTGAACTAAATAATACATAGAAACCTAAATTTTATCAAAAATAAAATTGGGTTCGTTATCCCCGATTTCCTCACAAAAACATATGAACTAGTGATAACAATTTTTTAATTCTTAATCCGACATGCCACAAATATATCACAAATCTAGCTTACTAGCTTAAGGTGTCGATTTCAAGGAACAAAACTAGCTTACTAAATATACATATAACTACTCAATCTAACAAATATAATTAGATATGATTTATAATAAATTAAATGCAAAAGACTAACAGAGTTCAAAAAAAAAAAAAAAAAAAGAATTAAAAAAACGGTTTATTTATGGGAAAAATGTCATTAAAATCCCCAACTTATTCAAAACGTTGATTTAAATCCTCAACTCACGACGAAACGAAATAAATATCAAACTTATGTTGAATTTCCAAATAAATATTAAACTTATGTTGACTTTCCAAATAAACACCAAACTTTCATTGACTTGGCCATATTAGGCATGACGTTAAGTGAGTTAACAGACAATGTTAACGGGATTTATTTTCTGTTAACAGACCCGCTAATTAAAAATGACAGTATTGTTGAACTATAATCAAATCTCATCTAAGTCATATAACCTAAAGTCGTATTCATATAAGTTAGTTATTTACGTAAGAGTCACGAATGTACGTACGTATAGTTGTGTCTGTTCGTAAAGTTGTGTCTTTTCGATTAACACATGTACGTATACGTTGTTTCGTGTTGTATAAGTAGATCGAGTCAAACTCAATAACATCATTGTGTGTAATACATTTTCTCTTATCAATAAAGATCAAGTTTCTTCATACTCTATTTTTCATTTTGGTTTTGTTCTTCATACTCAGTTAAAACAGAGTTCGTTTGTTGATCAAAACACTAACAAGTATTCCTTCTAAACATAAAACGACGTTGTTTTGTGTTAACTGTTCAATAAAATCCCGAGTTTCAAATCATACTCTATTTAGGGTTAGGGATTTTGCTCGATTTGGGGATCTAAGATTGACTTTAGGGATTTAATTCAATCGTTACGACAAAACGACGTCGTTTTGTTGTTATATGAAACAATGTCGTTATCAATTAACATATATGTTAACAGAAAATTACCTCCGTTAACGAGATCTATTAACTCACTTAACGCCGTACCTAATATGGCCAGGTCAACGGAAGTTTGATATTTATTTGGAAAGTCAACATAAGTTTGATATTTATTTGGAAAGTCAATATAAGTTTGATATTTATTTCGTTTTGTCATGAGTTGAGGATTTAGTAACCCACTTAACGTCGTACCTAATATGGTCAGGTCAACGGAAGTTTGATATTTATTTGGAAAGTCAATGAAAGTTTGGTGTTTATTTGGAAAGTCAACATAAGTTTAATATTTATTTGGAAAGTCAACATAAGTTTGATATTTATTTCGTTTCGTCATGAGTTGAGGATTTAAATCAACGTTTTGAATAAGTTGGGGATTTTAACGACATTTTTCCCGTTTATTTATAAACGGAAAATATTTGAACTGATTTTGGAACCGAGTCTAACTTGAACACTAAGGTCACCAACCTAAAAAATGATCTAGATAATACTAAATAAAAACTTAAATTTCCTAAAAAATAAAACTGGGATATTGTCCCTGCTTTCTAACAAAAACATATGAACTAGTGGATGATCCTTTTTCGGTTAATTAATCTTGTGGAATTAGAACAACAAGAGTTTCATCATTTAGAATTTGGAAGAGTTTTTATTGGAATAGCTATTGTTAAAGAAGCTTAAAATTAGTTAAACTACTTTTGTAAACTATATATCGGTGGTTAATAAAATAAAGAAAATATATAGAAGTTAGAGCCACCAATAGAGGTCCGTTTCTCATTGCACAAAACGTCCTGAAATATATAATCTATGTCACTCCTATGTTCAGGTTGGTCACTCGGCTTGGCTTTATGACATCTTTGTTAGTGAAATGGTGCTGATCTCTACTTAGTGTGGTCTCCTTTTGTCTTGATTTTTGCCCAATTGACATGGTTTTTTGTAGTCAGCCTAGCTTAGATCAAAGATTTTAACATATGGTTTGTAATAATGTCTTGTAAACTTTTCTGATCAATATATATATATATATATATATATATATATATATATATATATAAGGTCATCTCAATCTTACGAAAATTTAATTATAAATCAACGTGAAACTCTTCAATTAGCAGAAAACAAAAAATGTGCATGGGTTTCATCCCAAGACGAGGTTAATAATGCAAATTATTCTATTAAGATGTCTAATTCTATGGATTTAGTAGGTATTGACAAAATAATCGAATCGGGACCGAAGTAAAAGGAACCCAACCAAAATTTTAAAATATTCAAATGGATTTTAAATCTTAGAAGCGAAAAAACTGGAACCGACCAAATTATTTCAGATATCCGAAAATATTTGAAATATGATTATATATCCAAAATATTAGTTATTTTTAGATTGAATAACCAAAAATACTCTATATATACCCAAAATACTCGGAAAATATCAAAAATATCCAAAAGTAACTGAACAATACTCAAAAATATTCAATCCGGAAGAAAATATCCTAATGGATCCTAAACTTTAGAACCAAACAAATCGGAACCAAACCAAACTAAACTTCTTTCAGTCCCTATATAGATCATAAACTCTAGAACCGAAAGAACATGAACAGAATGGAACCAAACCAAAATCGATCTAAATATCCGAATGCCCATGCCTAAAATTTTGCTCATGTGGAAGCAGACGGATTTACGGAATATCGATGTTTCATTGATGCCTTTTGAAAAAAAAATTGTATTTTATTAGGACTAGAATTGTATAGTTCTTAAAGTAATGATGAGGAGCCAAGTTTGGGAATTTGTAATCTTCGAAAGAATCTTTCACGACTGCACACAAAAGCAGAAGCACTACTTTGTACAAGGAGGTGTTTAAAAGATTAATTGAAGAGGAGATTGCTTACATCGCATACCGTTCTTAGTTGGTAAACATGGTGTTTACACCATGGCTGACGTTTTTAAATTATTTCGAAGAAGTAAAAAAAATAAAGAAGACTTTTTTTTGTTTTTTTTATCTCGTTTGTATCTTGACGAGCTAATGTTAGAACGGAAAAAAATGCTCGTGTATATCCGATTTTTTTACAGATAAACGATACTCCATTGTTGTTGATAAAAAGTAGTATCTTCATGCCTGACTCGAACTGTTCGGTTCGATCGATTAACTTGCGACTCTGATATTTTTTCGATTTGGATTTAGTACTAATATTCAGTAATTTTAAAACTGGAAAAATCCACAAAAATCCATCATTAACCAGTGATCTGCTGAACCGGTTGAACCGGCCGGGTATCGGTTAAAAAAAAAATCATTTGATTTTAGAATAAAATATAAGGTTATAGACTTTTAGTATATTCACTATTCTGTTATTTTTAGTACTTTTTCATTTTCTCTATTCACTTTCTTTCTATTTTAGTATTTTTTACGGTTTTAGTTGGACTTAAAAAATTTAATCATTTTATTGTTATTGTTAGATTCATCTTTTGTGAAACATGGTATGATTATTTTTAGTATAAAACTGTATAATCTCTATACATATTAAATATATTTTAATTAATTGATCCGTGATTGAACCCAGTTGATGCAGTGATCCGGTGACTCAACAAGTAGTCCGTTAACCGTCCGGATCGGGTTTAAAAACATTGATTAAAAGAAAAAAAAGAAATAATATTGGGAAAAGGAAATAAGATAGAGAGAATGATGCAAATTGATGTACAACTAGAAGAATAAAAGTAGGTTAAAATAAATAACATAATAATTTTCATTATTTTGGAATGAAAAGAATGGGAGGCTGCTTCAAGGGTTATCCTGTCGTGATCTTAATGTTTTCTTGTATAATTTTGCTCTATATCTCTCATTATATAAACTTCGGTTTTTATAGGCTTTTTTTTCTTCTTAAAGTATCAACGTAAATGCAACAATAAATATGAGCTCCGTTGTTAAAATGCAACCATATATTTCTCGTCTTTGTTGTTAATTAGTAGTTGAAGTTGCTGTAATCTTACTTGTGTTTGGTTACTTCTAGTTTATGTCTGGTTACTTCTAGCTTCTGTTTGTTGTAAAAAGTACACTGCTTCTCCAAAATGGTTTCTCCATTACTGAATAATGATGTTGTTGATGGTATATATATATATATAAAGGAACTTTTGGAAAAGAAAAAAATATGAGCTCAGTTCCAAAATGAAAATTTGACAAGGCAATGGATTCACCTGATCACATCTCAGAATTTTATAACATGTCCCATATTCGACAAACTTGAATTTTTCCTCCACGTTCTTAGTTATATACTTCCATTTATTTGCCATGCAGCCCATTAAAGGCCAACTAGAAAAGAAAAAAAAGAAGAGGAATGAAGTCCATTTAAGAACTAGTACAGTCTCAAAATTATCGGTTTAAACCCAACCCAACCCAAAACATGACTGCGTATTCGTTATTTAATTTTATATTCTTATTAGGTTGTTTTGAGTTGTTTATTTTCTACTAGATAAACATCATGACAAACAAAATACAAGACTATAAAAATGATTGATTTTTTTATTTATTAATTGGACTTTTTAGTTGTTATAAGTAATCTAAATGATTCTTACTTTAGAATTTACACAAAATCATGTTTTCTAAACTATTATCGGTGATTATCGTAATTTCTTAATTCATATAAACCAATAGATTTGATTGATAACACAATATTATATAATTTTTTATAGATATAAGTTAGAATAGTAAGTTTTTATGAATTAATACAAAACTATATAAAAAATAGTACATAAAAACTGTAAAAAAACTGAGAATAACGTTTCAATAACAATTTTGATATCGTTTTTATGATTACTAGTTGTCAAAATAGTATGCCCTACCGCAATAGTACATAATTACCATTCAAATCCAATATAACCAGAAAAATTATTTTCCTATAGATTTTATTAGAAAGTTGTATATTATAAAAATAAGCAGAACTATACATATTGCCCATATACACAACTAGCTAGTAGAGGTTGACTGGATAACTTACGTGGGAGATATGTTCCACGTTGATGCTAATGATGACTAAACGAACGACACGCGGATCCACGTGAGCCATCAGCTCTGTGTTACCCTGCCGTTTCGTGTCTCTCAAAGGTCAAAAACCCAAGCTATTTTCTGATTCTTCTTCACATTGAAGAAAGATCTTACTATTTTATTCCATTTTTATTGATTTTATCAATACATCAATTTCTGTAGCTGTATTAATAAAGATATGCATGAATTTGTTATTTTGGAAAAACCATATATTAGTGGTTTTTAATAAATACTACGCATATTAGTGGATTAAATTCATCATATAAGACTATTTACTAATTTTGCAAAGCGTCACATATTTGCAGTCGGCGATTGATGCGCGTAAGCCATGCAACTATTGTAATCTCCCTTCTCTTCCATCTGTTACGGACCTTTTTTTTTTTTTTTTTTTTTTGGTAAAAGGTAATTAAGTTTCCTTTTAAAGTTTTGATTTATCTGATCATATAAAGAATTAATTAATGTATTTTATTAATATTGCGTTGAGCGTACGTAAATTAATATCCACGTATAAGTGTTTATGTACATTCAATTTTTATAGACATATCACATACGTATACACTTATAAACTTAGATATACGTTCACATGTTGCATGTCGATATTGTCGAGGTCCTCGTAATTTTGTTCTATATATGCAGAACCATATCGTCAAATATATATTTCTCTTAGGTTTTTGATAAGATTTAAACCAACAAATATTGTCAAAGAAGCTGTAGGCTTCTATCTCGAGGTTTTGAGGACGGGCCTTGGATAGATATGCTTGTGGCAACGACGATCAGGATTCCAGTTCTTCGGTTCTGTGGCAACCACGCAAATTTCCGAGCTTCGCGGACTCAGAATCGGTGTTTCTTCTTTTGCATATTGGCCTTGACCGCTTAGCAGTGATCTTTTGCAACTTGAGTTGTAATGTTGTTTTTATATTTCTGTAGATTGCTTTAATCTGTTTCAAGTTTTCCCTGTAATTCTGTCAAAAATCAAAAATAGTATAAAATTTCACTTTTTACCAAACAAAAAAAAAAAACTTTACGATTCTATAAACCCAAGAAAAAAAAAAGATTTCATCGGTATACTCGCATAAAATACCAAATTACGTTTTTTTTTGTTTTTTTGGTTTAATAATAAAAGTGTTCGACTATTTCATCTTTTAGTTAAAATGTATCAATATGTTAGTTTATAATTTGTTTAATGTTAATCTACCTATTGGCTTCATTTTCTTTTTTTATTTTTTATTTTTTATTTTATTTTTATTTTATAAACCCTATCGGCTGATCCGGTCGGCCTCGGTAGAAACGCACCGAGGTGCTACAAAGTGGACTTCTTCCGATCCAGGTAGAATTGGGCCACCACACTGCCTGATCCGAGTTTGGAATACCTTCCGACTAATGCCAGAGAGTAGTCAGGCCGCCTGTATTTCTGACTACCAGGTAAACCAATTGGGCCAACGCCCAACTGATAGACTTCTCAAACAAATGTGTTTTTGTTTTCAAGAAGAATCGAACTCGGATCTGGGAGTTTCACCCTTCACCAAAACTTCCTCTGCCACTAGACCATAGAGGCTTGGGCCATTTTCTATATTTCGTTACACGGTACGTAGCGTTGGTAATATAAAACCATACCGATGTAATATAGTAGATAAAATATGATTACATATGCATGCACCTGCTGATATATACACATATATGCATTGTGTATATATCGATAGACGTAGGTATAAATATTGTCTTAAAGAATATAACCTCTAAAGACTAAAGAGCAAAATGAGAAACCTAGTAGAAGAAAAGTTCCTAGAGTTCTATGAGAGTTGGGTTCTACAACTTGAGCTATATCTTCATCAACTTTTAATTGCTCATAACAACAAGACTATGAGTGAGACCGAGCTTCGAGCTTTGATCTCGAAGCTAACTACACATCACAAAGCTTATTACACAGCCAAATGGGCAGCCATAAAAGAAGATGTTTTAGCTTTCTTTGGACCGATTTGGCTAAACCCGTTAGAGAAAGCTTGCTTTTGGTTAACCGGATGGAAACCGTCTACTGTGTTTCGGATGGTTGATAGGCTGAGGAAGTACTCGAGGGTGGTGCTTGTGGAGGCTCAGGTGAGGAAATTGGAGGAGCTGAGAGTTAAGACCAAGTTCGATGAGCAAAAAATTGAGAGAGAGATGGAGCGGTATCAGGTGGGTCCAAGATTTGGATCCGTACGGATCTTAGATTTTTATAACTATTTTTCAAACATTTGATATATATTATTTATGAATTAGAATTCTTTATTGAAAACTGGATAGCCATTTTCAGTGATATATATTTTTTTTGTTTGGAAAATATGTTTTTATCAAATTCTTTAAAGTTATAGCAATTTTCTATTGAAAACAGTGTTGAATCAAATTTGGCACTTGTCCTTATGATCAGTAATCACTGTACGTATATTGTAATTCATTTTATTTTAGATATATTTAACATAAAATAACTGTCTTTAGGTGGCTATGGCTGATCGGAAGATGGTGGAACTGGCGAGGCTTGGATGTCACTTAGGAGGAGAATCGGTGGTGGAGGTGGAGGCGGCGGTGAGGGGATTAGCGACGGGTCTTGAGAAGATGGTGAAAGCGGCGGATTGTGTACGGCTGAAAACGCTTAAAGGTATTTTAGACATTTTAGCACCACCACAGTGCGTTGAGTTTTTGGCAGCGGCGGCTACGTTTCAGGTTCAGTTACGTCGGTGGGGAAACCGAAGACATAATGTCACTCACTCCTGACACAAACTTAAGGGTTGTTTCCTCTGTTGTCATGTTTTTTTTTTGTTCTTTTTTATTACCAATAAGAATGAAAACATTTTAACTTCCATCGACTGTCTTTTTTCTTTCGCGTTAAAAACTGGAACTACAAAAGAAAAATAGAATGTAATTTCATGGCATGAAAATTAAAATATGGATGTGAAGTATTACAAAAAAAAGAATCACACATATGTCATCACAAAAACAATACGTTCAATACGTGATATATACTACTATGCATTATACAAACACATCGAAACTCGTATATATTAAATCCATCGAAGAAACACTAATCAAAACAAGCTGAACGTTGAAGAATCAAGAAACCAAATGCTCATATAAGAAAAAACTGATCCAAGAAACCAGAAGAAAAAAGAAAAAAAATGATACAACTTATAGAGAGAGAGAGAGCATTAAACGAATAGGAGAAACCTCTGATTGGTCAAGTAGCTTCAGAGGACAAGATTTCGAGCTCTGCCCACCAAAGAGGAGAGGATCTTGGAGTAGCTTTCTCAGGAGTTATGTTGATAACTTGTTTTAGTTGTTCCGCTACATCTTTCATTGAAGGTCGATGTCTCTGTTCTGTTTTCAGACATTCTCGTATCACATCGCAGATCACTTCAAGCTCTTCTTCTTTGAATGTCTTTAACGATGGATCTATCATCTCTCCTAATTCGTCGTTTTCAAGGTACTTTGAAGCCTGAAACATGAGCCAGACCGTTAGTATGTGGATAATGTTCTCTGTTTTTGTTTTGATTAGAGAGGGATTATTAATGTTATATACCCATTGCTCTATAGATCCGTATTCGTCTGAGAAAGAGAGCTTTCCGGAGATTATTTCGAGCATTAGGACTCCGAAGCTATGGACGTTAGCCTCTGGTTCTGGAGGTAGTAGCAATGACGTTTTCTCTAAGTCACCACTCACATGTATCTTCGGATTTAATCGTGCCTCTAAGTTGAATGGAATCTCCGAGACCTGCAAATTCGGTTAACCAAATCTTTATAGCGGCTTAACGACAAAACCTTTAAAACATTTTCAGGGTTCTTGTGTTGTAATAGAGTTTGGGAGGTTCTTGAGCAAATGTAGCTTAATAACAACACATTCAAAAACAGTTTTGAGAGTTTTTTTAGAGCAAACCTTGGCTGCGTAGTCATCGGTTAGGTAGATTTCCGATGAGTTGAAATCCGTATGTGCCATAGGCGGGTTCATCGCGTGCATATGTTGTAGACAGTAAGCCGTTCCCATTATTATTCTCATCCGTGCGCTCCAATCAAGATGCTCTGTCTCCTTATCTGATAGGTGGAAAACGTTATTAACCGAGAGAGTGAAAGCCGAGATAACATTATGAAAAGACCAAGACCAATGTTTTTACCGTGCAAATGTTCGAAAAGAGTTCCATTTGGAGCATATTCGAAGACCATCATCCTATTAAAAGGATCATCTTCTTCGCAGTATCCAATCAGATTCACAAAGTTCTTATGGTTGATCCGCGATAATGCATCAATCTACATAAAGATATACACTAACTCCAATTCAAAAGATACTTATAATGGTAAGACCTTTAAGTTAACTTTTTCGAATTTAACAAGGTGTAAGTAACCTTTCTACGGTATGCCATTTCCATGGCTCTTGTCCATTCTTTAGATTCAGCAATTGCGGTTGAAGCCACCGCTATCTCAACACCACTCGACAATGTTCCTTTATACACAGTGTAACCGTCAAATGTCTCTATAATGTTGCTGAAATCCTCACACGCTGTTTCAAGCTCAGACCGATTGAGCTTTGGTACCCCTAGATTTTGTCAAGTTCTCAGTTTCAATGTTAATGTTCCTAAAGAAACAGAGTAAAAATGGAAACAAAGAGAAGAAGGCTTTACCGGTAACAAAAGCTTTCTGCAATTGTCCACTAAGACCAGTTTTCCAAGGACCTATGCTCTTTACGGCTCTTTTCCGGCAGAAGAAGATAACCGCTACTATAATCAGTAAACCGACGAAAGAAGAAACCGCAATAACCACATACAGCCATACATGTTTTGACCCTTTTGACTGTTTATTATCTTGTGGCTGATTCTTAGAGGTATCAAGACTAGTGTTCTTATCAGGAGAAGGTAAAGGAGGGAGTAAAGGCGGTCTTCTCTTCTTTGCACTGGTTACTGCAGGGAAAGACCCGCTGCTTCGAGGGGAAGCTTCAGTTATAATCTCGGGAGAAGGACTAGGAGCGGAAGGAGCAGGCTCAGCCGCCAAATTGCTTGTCTCCTCGAGTAACTCACGCCGTTTGAAGATATCAGTTTCCTCCAAAAAGCCTACAAGAATCAGATTGAAATCTTATAATCTATAGTTTCTGCGCTAAAATTGTTGAATCCAAAGTGTTTTCGCTTACTAGGGAATGCTTTCAAGAAACGTCTGGAGGTTGCTTTGATCCGGAATACAATAGCTTCTACCTTTTTTACTCGAATGATACGGTTTCTTGAAACACTGTGAAGAGAGATGAAGGTGAAGATGAATAACCAAAACATGCACACTCTTGTGTTAGATGATTCAGAATATCACAGAGCTTACCAATGTCCAAGTTTTCTGTTAATACAGCCGAGAATAGCTAAAGGTGATAACTTTGGACTCTTGTTTAACCGGACTTCATAGGACGATTGAAGTCTCACGATCTTTATTCTCGTATCACCCAAAAATTTGTTACCAGAAAGCAACCTGGATCAGTTCAACAAGGTCATAGCAAACAAAAAATTAAGGTACACTTCTTTTCAATATATTTTGTAAGAATTGAACATTAGAAATGTTAACTCACAAGTGTTTGATAGACAAGTCATCGCTTAGCTCAGGCGGAATTTGTCCGCTCAAATCATTATCTCTCAAATCCAAGAATTCCAAGTTTTCGAAACTCCCATACTCCTTTGGAATTCCACCGGAGAAATGGTTCCTAGAGAGTATTCTGTAAGAACAAGAAAGCAGTTTAGTCCAAGAAAGAACAACCAAACATAAAAAAGAGAGCTGTAGAAAAGATCCTTACAGAGATCTTAAATCACTCAATTGGCTTAGCTCAGGAGCTAATGTTCCTTCCAAAGAACATCCGCTAAGATCCCTATAACAGACACATATAAAATCAGACTTTATTAGAACATTAAGACACTAATGATCTCATTTTCATAGCTTAGCTAGTCTAAAACAGAGGAACTTACAGAATCTGCACTTTACCGTCAACACAAGTAACCCCTGACCAAAAACAGAGATCATTACCAGAAACATTCCAATTCGCAAGAGTCCCATGAGGATCCGAGTTCACTCTTGCCCGGAATTTCAACAATGCGGATCCTATATTTATCACAAACTATGAACCAAAACCCTAAAAAAATTCATTTAAAACAAGAACAAGAAGATAGAATTATAAAGATCTAACCTTGGGAAGTGAGGGACAATGAGAGAGGAGCTTGAAGGCCAATGATCAAGAAGAAGAACCAAGGGAAGTGAAATCCACAACCCATCATTATAAGGTTTTTACAACAAACACTATATACTACAGATTTTTCCCTAATTACAAACCAAAATCCAAAAAACCCATTTCCCAGAAACAAACTTTCTCTTCTATATAACCAAACCAAATATATAAAAAAAGAGAAAAAAAGAGTTATATTTCTATATAATTACAATGTACAGAAGAAAGCAGAAAATACTCGGATATCAGGGTCCTTGATCATCATTTTCCAGGTTTGAAAATTGATTTTCACAAAACCCTTTTCATCACAGTGTTAATCTCTGGGATCTAACAGCTCCTTGTGGATCTCTTGATACCTAAGAAAATGCAATAAAAATAACAATAATTACCAAAGGGGATACCGTTTCGAAGAAGCAACGTATATATACAAAAAAAAAATCATTATATTGTCCTCTTTAAAATGAAGAACATTGTAAATTACGTAAAGGAACCAAACAAATGATTAGAAAAACTTACTGTATAAAGGAATTCCTTATAATGCAAACAATGTATTGTTATTATGTTTCTGGAAGAAAAAACCAGCGAGCGGGTAGGGCAAGCAAGAGAATGTTGGTAGAAATCAAAATATCCCTAGAAATCGACCTTAATTATATTTTAAAAAATACAATTTCTTTAAAGGAAAAAATCGATTTCTTGTGTGTTTTTTTTTGCAGGATGATGATGAAGATGATGATCTCAGAGTTTTCTCTCTTCGACCATCTTTGGTCTCTCCAGGGCCAAAGGGTGGTGCCTTCTCTCTCCTCCCTCTTCCCTTTTCTTCCCTCTTCTCTCTCTCTCTTTGCACAATTTGTTTTCTTTTTTAATTTTTTTCGAAAAATTTCCAATTTCACAACCCCTAATTCCTTGTAATTTAGTTTTCGTATTTTTTTTAATTATACTGAACTAAACCACGTCACCTTGCTGCATATATATTTTAAACACAAAATGAATGATTATGTATTTTTAATCTGAGTATCCAAATCTTTTCTCATTCTTTATTTTGATCGAATACAAGAACAAGACCCATGGGGACGTGCCTGCCTCTTATACTTTACTAGTAGGGCCGGTAATAAAATAGTGAATCTTTCTGACCGTTGGATATCGTTAATCTAACGGTTTTCATATCGTTTATGTATAAATGAGCACTACCACACATGACATGGGTTTTTTCAATTTATGTGCATGAACATCATCACTAGTATAATTTGACAAAAAAAAAAGGAAGAACATCATCACTAGTAACATGTCTCCCATTACTTCTTAAAGTATTTTATTCCGTCATGATCATATGTCAATTGTAGCTAGTATTAAGAAAAAGAAGTCAATCAAAATCCTATATTATATATGTGTGTCTTCGACAAAGATAGCTCTAATTTCAATATGGTGATCTTGATTATTTTAATACAATCTTTTAGCTGGAGTATCATCGCCAATTGATTTAAATGCTTCGTCGGTTTTAATTTGATATAACCGAAAATTTTCGTGTAAAGGCAAAATGCTCAACGGAGGCCTAATTCATTATGAATCAGCCCGGCCTAAACCGGATAAGTCAAAACCGGTTCGTCACGGAACCCATACTTTATCAAACATCAATAACATGAGGTCTTCAATCATAAAACATGTGGTTGGAAAAACAAACGCCACAATTATATTCAGCTACACACACAAAAAATTGAAACACAAAGAATCAATCTCGGGTACATTTGTGTTGTTGCCTACAAGAAAAATAAGAGGCAAACCTTAAAACTATTTATTAATTTAATAGTACTGTAAAAAAAAAGATGATGTAATTTGTCTGGTTTTATGTATTTTGCTGGCGAGATGGATAAACAATCAGCTCCTGCATAGTAGAATTTCACAAAGAGAAGATATATAAATCAAATGTTCAATGAATACTATACATTTAAAAGAATTCGATTTTGTTTTAGAACCAAAAATGTTCAAAGAGTAATTAATACCTGAGAATAACGAGCGTGATCGTTGTGAACGTACGATGTTTTAACGATCGTTTCCCATTTGGTAGATTCAAGAACTTCTTGATTCAGTTTCTTGTTACCAACTTGACCTAAAACGACACCGTGCGGTCTCGGGTTTAACGGTGGTAGGAGGGTTCTTCCAAGCCAGGATCGAGACGGAGTTTCTGGCAACGGCGGAGGAGAAAGTGCCGATATATATTCCGACGACGTTTTGAGAAGATGCCCTGACCTATCGTTCCTTCTTCTGTTTACTTCCTCCACAAGAAACCTCGAATCGTGAATTGTCGTACGTTGGATCCTCGTTGGAGTGGAGACCGAGTTTCTAAACATTCTGATTTCTCCAGAATTCGAATAGTTAGGAAGAACCTCTCTTCTTGTTCTTGTTGGATACAGTTCTTGAGACTTGCTTATTCCTCTGTTTAGCCTTTTGAAGCTCTCTGGTTTCTCCGGAGTTCCGAGAAAACCGGAATCCGAACAAGAAGTTCGGTACGGAGAGATAAAACCGGAAAGACGCCTAGTTGACCAGTTTGGTAAACCGGTTTGATCACCCGAATGTTTCTTAGACCGGTTTGATACTGAATCCAAAGGAACCGGGTTTAGAAACTTGAATGAGTTCTTAGCACAAAGCCTTGGCAAGAATCCACAAACTTTCTTGGTAACTTCTGGGTAGATCTTGTGATCACCATCACCGCTATCATCATCATCATCATCGTCGTCGTCAGTATCATCATCAATGTTTAAATCATCATAAAGACTCTGAACAATGGCGAAATGTTCATGTTCTGCGACTAATTGACTTCTTTGACGAATTAGGAGAGCTTCTCTGTTCTGAGTGATTAGCTTCTGCTCTGAAGAGTTATAAGAAGATTGATGTTTCTGATGTGTCTGAAGAGCCATTGCTTTAGCAGCTGGTAAGAATCTCGACATCATTAGATCAAGACTTTCTCTAGATTTGTCATCACCGTCAGATTTTTCACCGGTCTTCTCGATTTCGCTAACTCCACTTGTGCTGCAGTTAACAGAGAAGCTTACATTTGAAGAAACCGTATCCAAATCTTCTTCGTCTTCTTCTTCTTCATCATCGGTTTCTAGTAAACCTGATTCTTGAATCAATGTAGCCATGTCATCTTTTGGTTTTCCAGGGCTTTGTTCCCACATAAAAGGAATTGAAGCTGGTTCTGTGAGATGATCAAAGCTCTGGTCTGGTAATACAAAAACCGGCGTTTCTTGTTTTGTGCTTGGACATGATCGAAGCTCTGGTCTTGTAATCGTCATCTTCTTGTTCTCTAACTCACTAGAACGCTCTATCATAGACGGAATCCGTCTTATTGATGGTAATGGAGCATACAAATTCAATTTCCTTCCCTCCATTCTTTAAAGAAATAAAAGAAAAAGAATAAGAAACAGAGTCTCTGTTTTGTGATGTCTTCTTCTGCAGTGTTTTTGAGATTGTAGTTGTTCTTATTGAAGTACGAAATAGAAATAAAAAGAGAAAAAGAATAGAGATATTGTATAATATATGTGTATATAATAGATTGCCGAATGTCTAGGGCCGAGATTGAAGGCTGGAGTTTAGGAAAATAGCAGATGAATCTATAAGAAGTGTGTGACTAAAGAATTGTCAATAAAGAGACTTTCTCTTTAAACTTATGTTTGGTTGTTTTCAATTCATGATATAATTGAGCTTAGAACAAATCCCATCCCCCACAAAGATTTTGATTGAAATTTAATGATGAGATCAACTACTTTTGTTTTGCTGCTGGTGGAATTTTTGTGTTGTGAATACAAAACGATGTCGTTAGACATTGGAGTACAAGAAGATCAGAGACAAAAATTTAGCTCTAAAGGTTAAATATTCCTCAAGGCAAAAAACAGTTGTGGTTCAAGTTTCAACTGTTTTATTTTCCCTAAAAGTAATGAAAAAAACAAAATAAAATAAAAAGTGAGAAAAGACATTTATGTGAGCCAAAATAATAAGCACTAGTGAAGTGGACCGACTTTGGTAATGTAACACATGTTGTTGTGTCCTTTTCCGAGCCACGCAACGTTTGTAATGTAATAAGCACTAATTTTCTTTTCTCCGACTGCACTAATTGTTTACTTTGTTTAAAGTCTTTGAAGAAAAGTCGCGGCATCGCCTCGACGGATGATGGGGCTCGATTTGAAATAGAATTAATTATTATAAATTAGGGGGATTAGCAAAAATACCCCTTTTCTCATGCCCCTTTTCAAAAATGTCCCTTTTAGATGTCAATTTTCAAAAATACCCCTTTTTAAATCTGAAATTTTTATAAAGTTTTATTAGGTTTATAAGGTACTTATGGATTGTAACTACTACTTGAAGATTCGATCCAAGTATTTATAAAGTTTTATAAGGTGTTTTTAAAGGTTTTACAAGTTGTTTTAAAGAATTTTTAAGGTTTTCCAAAGGTTTTACAAGATATTTTAAAGGTTTTTAAAGGTATTTAAAATGCATTTATAAGGTATTTATAAAGTATTTATAAGATTTTAGATACATAGAAATGTAGTTTGTGTATGTTTTAATAATATTACATACATATTTGGGTAAATCTTATATTTTTAAGAGCATTTTTTATAAGGTTTTAAAAAGGGGGTATTTTTGAAAAGTGGCATTCAAAAAGTGGCATTATTAACAATTTCCCTATAAATTACTCATAACATTCCAAAAAACAAAATTGACTTATAATAATTTGCTAAAACAACCGGCCTAAGATATTGACTATAAATTAACATTTCATTTTTAGATTACACAGTGTATATATATGACTTTTAGATTATGTAATCATTTTCTAGATAGTATAGTAATCGTTTTAATTAAAAGAAAAAACAAGAATTTTCTTCTAATCATAACTTAAGTTTATGTTTGTCGTTACTTATGTTTTGTTAGGTACTACATTTATTAATAACCAATTCTTCAAAAGTGTCTTTAAATAAATTAACGAACTGGCCAGGCGAACATTTATTCTAATTATCTAATACAAAAATAGGAGGAGAATCCCATGAAAAATTGTAAAGTAGACAAAATAACTCGAGAAATACATTAGAGAAAAACTCGATTTATTGAAAGAAAAAAGGTGAAATAAGTTTAGTTGACCAAAAATCCCTAAAATTGCGGGTATGAAAAGGACAAGGGAATAAATATCCTTCACGTGGCAACCACTCACACTGCCCCCACCAACACACCCAAGCTTTGAAATAGCAAGGCTCACTAGCCCATTCGTTAAGGCCCATTTCCCGACCGTCAACGAGAAAACACTTAGAAAATTTCTAATCTTTACCGTTAGAACACAAAAACACTATTATCTATTTTGTCTTTCACCAACTTGTCACGAAATTGTGAATATTTTTCTTTTTTCTTAGGCTAATAAGAGAACCTCAATAATGGTCACTAATAATGTGGAATATTGATGAAATCTATAAACAACTAACCCAATGTGACAGGGATTTCCATATTTAATTAGCTATTACAGTATTATATTATTTAGGTTTGGGCGAATAAACCGAACCGAATGTATCGAACCGATATCGAAGCAAAAAGAACCGAACTGAACCAAAAATTTGAAAATAATCGAATGGATACTAAATTTTATAACCGAAAGAACCGTAACTGAATCGGTACCGAACCGAAATATTTCGGGTAACCAAAAATACCCGAAATACAATTATATTTTCAAAATAATTAGTTATTTATAAACCAAATAATCAAAAATATTTGAAAATATATAAAAATAGTAAAAATACTCGAAAATAACCGAAAAATACTCAAAAATAACCAAAATATTCAAAAATAACCTAATCCCTTTGGTAATGAAGTGAACACAACATTTGGTCCACAAACCATGAGAGAAAGAGATCAAGCAAACTAACTCCGGAAATCCACAAGCACTTCAACAACACACATTGGCACCAAAACCATAAGCATAGGAACATTTGACCATACCGCAAAATCAAACAAACAAAACTAGTTACCCAAAAGAAGAAAACAACTTACTAAGGTTCAAATGAAAGACTAATCAATTTGTTGTTATGGTGAGAGGAGAACCTTTTCAATCTGTGACATCCCCACCATCATCAACGCTCGAATCAACATCGGAGTCGTCTTCTTCTTCATAAATGTCGTTTGCTTGCATCTCAGTGTAAGAGTCCTCATCACTAGAGTCCTCAACAGCCTTTGGATCCTCTTCATCAACTTCAAAGTCCTCCTCAGTTTCCTCAACTAACGCAATTTCTTTAGTGGAAACTTGAAATATAGGGCAAAACAAACAAACAAAATTTTGCAAAATTAGGGTAAGACAACTTGATCACAGCGACAAACAAAAGAAAGAAAGAAAAAGTCACTGTTGATTCTGTTTTATCTGCCCAAGATATTCTGACACTCATTTCAGATTGGTTTACGCCGCTGACCATTCCAAAATAAGGTAGACCATGGACTTCTTCCAGCCGACGAACAATGTTTGAAATCTAAAAGTCTCCATCAAAGAACATGCATGCTACCTCCTTTTCAATAAGTTCGGTCGATAAAATTTCTTCTTCATGACCATCTTTCCAAATTACCGAAACCATGCCGGTCTCACACTCCGTGATCAAAAACTCTTTTTCACCTTAATCTAGTACACATCGCTGGCCTATGAACCACCAAACACTAAGAAACCGAAGGGGTAACAAGAGGCGCACCTCTTTATTCAATACTTAGACGACATGTAGTTCGCTCCCGTCACCAAACCACCTCTATATATGCTACTACACTTGTCTCTTTTTTTTTGTACAAAAACCACACTTTGTTGTATACTATAGTCAAACTTTATTTCATTTCATAGCTTTCAAAAGTTTGGCCTAATTGGTTTGATCTATTCCTTATTGAACAACCATCGAAGGTTATATTCTCTCATTCATAACGTTGACATATATGTATGTAGAAATAAAATACATATGCAAGAAACCTTAACGATCTTTCACAACTTTAGTGATAAATAATGTGGAAGTTGTATCAACAATTTAAAATATCTAACTCCTAGAAATTTTCGATTTGTCAAATCTCATAAAAAAAATTTCATATACCAAATCATTAGAATAGAAAATCGATTTTGATCTATATGGAAAAGAAATAATGTAAATGGGTGGCGAAAACAAGAAAATTTGGTATATGTTTATTTGGTTGTAAGAGCATTTTATTACTTTTGAAAATCCAGATTTATGGGGAGGTTGAACAGTGCACTGTTGTTGTGCATGGAGTCCCTAAATCATTATAAGCTCTTGACATGTCTATCGGTTTTGTTGTTAAAACTCATATTTCTTACTAATTTGCTTTCAACTTTTATATATGTTGACAATATATTTTTTTTTTTGCTATAGGTGATATATATTTCGTAATTCTACAAAAAGAAATGAATCGCACAAAAAAAATTTATTCTACAGTTTTTCATTGTACATATTCTTTTGCCATTCTAAAAGTGAAATAAACCGTTTTCCCGGTTAAAGGTTATGAATTTAGAATCTGCGAATATGGGCCCTTTATACTTATTCGGTTATTCCCAAACAATTCATATAGTTAACCATGGTGGCTAACTGGTAATTTTATGGCATCAAAGGTTAAATTTTTGAAATGGACGGCCTGTTCTTTGTGCCCAAGAAAAAAGAATTGGTTTTGCCATGATTAGACTGACATATTTAGGAACCCAAATTTGGGGGGAGGTTGAAGATTGCCATGTTGTTGTGCGTGAAGTCCCCAACTCGTATAAGCTCTTGACTTGTCTATCGATTTTGCTGTGACTCATCGCCATGAAAGCGAACTCTTTCCAACAAGGGACTGATGTTACTGAAAAGAGAGCACTTGTTGCGAAGTCATAAGCTCGTCTTTCTAAATAATTTGGTTTTCGCTTTTATATATGTTCACTATGAACATGATATATAATGACACAAAGTATTAATTATCCCTATCTTGTTCGATTAGATGTATCATAATATTTGATTTCTTAAATGCAATTTTGATAAAATTACTGCTATACTAACGGTTTATGTAGTGACATTAAAAATCGTGACACCAAAAAGGCAAAAACGTTACTGTTATAATTTTAACGGTGATAGAAAATACACCAAAAGGCAAAAAGGTTTCACTGTTATAACTTCAATTAACATGTTTTTAGTCTTACTTTTGTTGTCACCAACGTATATTTAGTCACTAACCCGACTGAGTCAAAATTTTAAACCATTATTTTAAAGATTACTAATTGTAAAAAATGTATAATAACTTCATTTTATTTCTCACATGATTTCTTCACAAAAGAGTAGGAGAGTTTGTCTAAAAAAAGAGTAGGAGAAAAGAGACTTACGTAAGAAATAAACCATTTTGTTCAAAAAAAAAAGGAACATTTTTATTCCAATCTTATTTATCCAAAAAAAAAAAATTTTTTATTACAATGCTAAAAATTAAAAAAACTAATCCAACGATTCATAACTATAACTTCGATTAGTTTATTGATTAGTTTAAACATACATAGCTTAGCCCATCATCTTCTTTGTGAGCTTAGCAAGTGAAGTAAGGTTATACCGAATAATGTTATCAACAAAAAATATCGTATCTTCCTCGCTATTTCCTTCCGGCACATCCACTACGTAACTCTCCACCACCACCGTCTTCTCTGTCACATCCTCGGGCGACGCGACCACTGTCGTTTTCGATTTGTAATTAACAAGCCTATGGTTACCGCCAATGATACTTACCACCATCACGTGAGACTCATCATCTAGCTCTTCGAGCCTCTCCGTGCTGAAATCCGCCGGGAAGCCGGAGACAAACGTCACGTCCCGGACGGAGCCTTTTCCTTCTCCTCCTTTGCCGCTACCGCCGCTGGAGCGCATGGTGCAACTTTTGACGAAACGTTGATAAGCTTGTGGTTTGTCGAAACTACGTAGGATTGACCACACTAGTGGTAATGGTGCTTCGATGGTCTCGACTACGCTAGAGTGACATCGTTTTTGCTTAGAACTTTCCATTTTCTGTTTTGTTTTTTAGATGGTTTTGTCTTTTATCGACGTATATTTTCGTGTCTAACTTTAGAATTTTCGTCTTCACTTGTTAAGTTTTGAAGCCTATCGAACGAGCTACGTACATATAAATGAATGTAAACCACCGACTAAAATATTTTTATATTATTTTATTGTTTATTTACGAATTTGTCATGCAATAATTTATTTTTTATTGTTTTATTATTTTATTGTTTATTTACGAATTTGTCATGTAATATTAAACTTTCGAGTTCGATTCGTATTCTTCTTACTATCTACTAACAAAAAGCATTTTTACAATATAAACTACACAAGTATACACTGCGTTATTTGGTTAAAATTACACAATCTTGTCGGAATATTTAGAAACTTTATTTTGTTTTTTTTTAATAAAGGCTTGCATATTTAGGAACTTGGTTTTATCAAAAATCAACAAACCCTTCTGTGAAGGTTTTCCTGACAAAAGTGATATGGAACTTGGTTTTAGCAAAACCCCCTGTGAAGGGTTTTCTTTTAACTATATTAATCATTTAAATAGAAAGAAAGATATATTCACGAAGAATTAAATATCTTACCAACTGATAAAATTACCAATATTATATTAAAATATACCAATATTATATTTAAACCAGAAAAGCACACTTGTTTACAAACATAACAATTTTGCCGACGAGAAAAAAAAAGAATATAATTATTATTTTTTCCTTTGTAAGTTTAATGTTCTACGTATCCAATCCGAGAGTCATGCAAAGTTCTACTCTACGTATCCAGAATGTTCCATCAGTCTATTGCCTATAAAAAAATTAGGCCCAATAAGCCCATCTAAGCCCAAACAGATAGATGCTTCACCCCACATGCCACAAAATCGTTTTGTAGGCGTTGAATGTTGATGATGCTTTGCTTGCTACCAGACTTTTCCTTAGTTTTCTGTTTTGGTTTCGGCTTTCAATCCAGTCCGTTTGTTGGTTTGGGTTTTATGTTTAGTTTTCTAAAAAGGCTAAGATTTTGGAGAAATCATGTTTTTGTTTGGTTTTGTTTATGAGGTTATTTGTTGGGAATATATAGAACTTTTAAATATCACCGAGTAACACTTTAAAGTTTAAACCTCGACATAATTTCACTCACTATAAACTATCAATATAATTTTACTAACATTATAAACTTTAAAACTACCTTTCCTTTCCTCTTTATGTTACCAGAAAAGATGACGGAACTCACGTTCGTCAACGAGAATAGTTAAATTATGTTTGTTTAATTTGATTTTCAATTAATTTAATTTAATTTTTAATTAGATACTGAAACACAAGAAAAGCTTAAAGAAGAAAAATCAAAACCAAAACATGAAGAATCTGAGTTACAAGATAATGGCAAGCTAAGGAAAGAGTGTTCCTGATAAAAACATTGGAGAATTCATGAGAAATTGGAGTCGACAACAAATTTAGAGAATTCTACAGTTTTCCGATTAGAAATCAATCGGTTCAAATCAGAACCCAATGAATATGCATATATCAAAAGGATTAAACAAACATAATTTAACTATTTTGCATTGATAGACGTTATTGTTCCGTTATATTTTATGGTGGCGCAAACAAGGAAACTAGTTTTAGGATTTAGAGTGTTAGTAAAAATATATGTGTGGTTTATAATGTTAGTGAAACTCTCACGAAGTTTAAAGTGTTATCCAGTGATACTTTCAAAATTAAAAATGTGATTTTCATATATTTTTACACATTTTTAGTTTGCAATATATTTAATTTGAGTAACACAAACTTTAACAATGCCTAAAACATGAGTTATATGTAAAAAATTCAATAACATAAGCTTTCCAATTAAATAGCACTAAATTATATTTGGATTTATATATTAAAATATATGATTTAATAAACTTATAAAATTCATATTCTTCTTTTCTTAGATATCCTTCTCGAAAAACATGGACATGACTATTTCAAAGTCCAAATTTTCATAATAAGCATCTTGGAATTGTAGCATATATATGGCTCACTCAAGCTGAGATATTCATTTATTGTTTGGCTCTACGATCAGAAACAGATTTGCAATTTTGGTATCTCTCAAACTTGTTTTCTTTATGGTAAAACCAATGACCATATATCGCTTGCCTGTGCATATATTGCCTGGTTGCATGGTATGGTTGTCTTCTTGGAGCAAGTATCTCTCCCAAATGGTATGATACGTACAGTAAGCTTGTACTTCCACTCGTACCTTTTCTATTATGGACTATATATGTTATGATCCAATGGCTCCAATTTATCATGTGTGGATCGGAGGGAGAAGAATGGAAGGCGACACAAAAAGTTCGTCACCCTCTGAACAATCTTATCAGCATCATTGATAAATCTTTTCACAACCGTATCAAATTTCTATGTTATTAAGAAGAGAACAAGTACGGGGGTAATGGAAGCTGTTCTAACAAATGGAGTTCACTAAGAATCCTTTGATTGAATGTCTATTTAATTATCCGGTGGTCCAACATAAAAGGATACGTCAATTTTTCATGAATTTGTTACTATTTTTCACTTTAATTTTTTGTTTACCTCTATCAGTAAAATTATTTATTGATGATCAATAAATTTAACATTCAAAGAAAATGAGACGGGCGCAAGTAAAGACGATCGAGTTGATTAGCAACTAAGTATGATAGATTAATATTTCCGGTTTGAAACTAACCGATTCTTCCAAACTAACTCATGAATAACATATAGTATATATATAAAGAAACAGGGCAATATGGAATCATAAAGAAAAAGCTTATCCTAAAACTCATGACTCCAAGCCATCAGTATTAAATACTATATATGGAATATGGTCTATGGCTAATATATAGGCTATAGCTAGCTAGGTACAAACATATATTAATTTAGGTATAACTAAAGTTCGTATTCTGTGTGACATATATGTACATAACTACATGTAGCCTCTCTCCGGGATCTAGGGTTTCGGAAAACACTTTCTACCGACTCGACCGTTTTAGCTCTTGATCAATTGCCGGTTCGATCCTAAGTTCGTTTTGCTATATAAATCCTCATTTGGTAATAATGCTTATTCAATCTTTTTTTTTTTTTATTATTAAGAACTACTTGAGTAGTTATTTTAAACTCTTGAGCTGTTTCTTTATATTATTGGGCTAGACCTTGTAATTTAGTTCCCCATATCATGCTTCCAATAGAAAATAATTATAAAATAAAATATATGTACATATTTGTATACGTGTGCATATAGTTATATATACATAAAAGTAATGCTTGATTGTATATCATGTAGTGTAAGAAATATTATTTACTTACTTGTGCATTCCAACATGTGTACCGGCCAGTGTATGTTAATACATCATGATGCATGCAACGTACAGAAATGTTCTGTCATTTAAATACATTCACAGTTGGGACAACTCTAACTAATAATAAAAATAAAACTACATTTCATAGATATACCCTTATTCATATGCAATTTTTTTTTGTCAAAGCTTATTCATATGCAATTTTGAGTACCAAATTAGTATATAAATATATATACACACACGCATTAAGGTAAGTGACAATAGAAAATCAGGAAGATTTGATGGAATCAATCACTATTATTAATTCGATCTTTTGAGTTTTGTAGTCTAGATATCCAGAGAGAATAATTTCAATTTAAAAAAGATCATACTAAACTTTAAATTGAAAAAAAAAAAGAGAGAATTGAAAATTGATTACCTATATTGGAATTTTTAAAAATATGATTAAGTATCATCAAGTGGACGACTGATTAGGAGTCGAAGAGTTTGCAACATCCTTCTTGACAACAACGACGTCGTTTTTAGTCTTCCTCCTCTTCTTCTTCCTGTACGGAATCCCACGAGCCTTGGCTTGAGATTCTCTCACTTCCCTTAAGTGAACCCGGATAGACCCGTTTGCAAACGGGTTAGTATCAGGTGACCCGCCACCGTGTTCCTCGTAAGCAGCTCTTAGCCGTCCGATCAAAGCATCTAGGCTTCCCCAAGCTTGTTTGAGAGGACACGTGCACGGACCTGGTGGATCGGGTTGTCCGAAGAAGACACAAGCTTGATGATGTACTTTGGTCTTACCAAACTGATCTAAGTACCTTAGGAAACTTAGCACGTGCGTGTAGTCGAATTGAGACATCATCAACGGTGGATTTTGTGATTTTAGGTATTGGATGAACGTGTTCCAATCGCGGCGTTTCTGCGATTCGTAGCGGCTGAGTGGTTGCTGCGGTTGAGGAGGAAGTGGTTGCTTGTGGTGGTTGGAGGAAGAAGACGGATGATCCGGTGGATCTTTCGTCGGTGTGTGACGATCCAAAGACATTATTAGGGGAATTCTGATTTTTGTTTGTTTGTTTGTTGTTTTGGTATTATATTTTTGGTTTATGAGCAAATTCAAGGTTTAAAAGCAACAATAAAGTAAGGGAAAGAAAGAGAGATACTGAGAAATAATGGAACGGGGAGAGAATTATTCACGAAAAAATGATTACTATGTATATATAAGTGACAATAAAAATTTCTATCATTTCATGCGAATACTAAAATCTTTATTTTATGTAAGAATTTCTAAACTATGCATAATGTCACTAACTTACTGAATCAAGTATATATTATTTCAGTAGTGATGAATTAATTATACCGTTTTTTTTTAAACTTAGTGTTTAGTTTTCCACGTACGTGTCTTAACAAAAAAATTGAAAATCAGATATAGCACTCAATAATTTCTTATTTTAGCTACTTGATTAATTTCTTATTTTAGCTATAGTAACTAATTAAGTACCATGTAACTTTATATAAAAATATTAAATAGTGATCTATTTACAACAAAAACTAAAATTTAAAATCAATCGTTATTTGACCAAAATAAAATAAAATCAATCGTTATAAGAGTTTTTTTTTTGGTCTTATTAATTTTTTTAGATAATGTGAATGCTCTGTTATTTTTATAGACAACAAATTTTTATTGTAGGAGATCTATTCAATGAGATTTTATCCTATTTTCATATATTTGATTATATATTATGTTTGTATTTTGTTAATGTTATGTTCACACGTTACTTTCTATGACTTTTTTTGTCATCATCCAAGAAAAATAGTTTATCAAGGACGTACACAAAACAATTCAATATTCGACTTTGTAATAATATACACTACAAATTAATTAGTACACATTATTATTATATAGAGCAAAAGGAGAGAATATATTTCAATGGATGGGACCCGTGAGAAGGTGCTTTCGTTCCTTTTATAAATTTATTCTAAAGGATCAAAATTTGTTATTTTATTTGGTTTGTTAATTATCTTTTTTGGTCACTGATGTGGCTAGCTATTTTAATTTACACACTGTTATGATATACTCTTCTTTTTAAATTCCTTAAGAAAATATTAGTTTAAGCTATCCATTGTACGACTAGCAACCAAATCAATCATTATAAGTTTTAATAATGATTTATTAATTAATTTCTCCAACTTGCTTAATTTAGTGGCTATTGTTGAATTATGTGGCCTATTACATCTATAACTTTATCTGTACATAAGAAATAGATAATAACTATAATTATAATAATTACAATAATAACGTTGATAAATGATGATGATGATGACCGTCATCATCCTACTCGTAGCAATAACCATTAACAATAGATTAGTGAGTATTATACCTACTAAGTTTATTTTCTCCTTTTTATTTTCGAAAATCCAACGGTATTCCAATTTGTGATGATTCCTATAAAAGTGCTATTTCATATACGTGAAGTGAAAAAATAGTGACACCATAATCGTATATTACTAGATACTTTGTAGTTTGTATATACGTGGAAATATATTAACTATAAATAACATATCTTTGACGATACAATGAGTGATTGCTTAAGCATAAATGTGTCTGAAAGTGGACGACGCATAATATATAGGTTTCCATTATCTTACCCATGAATGTTAACAAGGACAAAACAATCCTCGGTCTTTTCTTTTGATATTGCTTTATAATTTTTAAGCTAGAATTCAATCACTATTACGTGTATATGTACATGTTCGTGAAATTAACTTTTGAATTGATGACTGATATATACAAAACTTAAATAGAAAATAACTACTATAAGGTAACCCTACTATATATAATGTGTTAGTGTACTGGTTCAACGAATAAGTTCGAAGACAGAAATACATAAAAAGCATGAAAATAATGAAATAAATGAGAAGACATAATAATTAAAGACAAGCATATTATTTGATAGAGGCATTTAGTACCCTTTGTCGGGAATAAAAATATTGCAGCCGGTGAAATCTAGATTCCGGTAACCGGAGAACAGGAATCCGACGAGAAAAACCCTAAGTAAAAAGCATTTTTAGACAAGATTTTGTAAGAGAAGATCTTGTGTGGGGCAATATATCTTTCGATATACTTTTGTCACAACATCAATAGAAATCCACTCGATACAAAAACAAAAGATAAAATAGGAATAAATAAAAATTCACGTGGGACTTGGGTCCATCTGTTTTTTCACCTGGGATCATATCTATGGTAATATATTGTAATTCTATTTTTTTTTTTGTTGCCCTTAACAAGAATGCCTTTTCTTTTGTTAAGAAAGTTACAAGAATGTCTTTATATTGCAATTTTTTTCCTTTAGTTTGATACGAAATGATGGCGTAAGTCGTGACTAATAATCAATCATCTTTTAACTTAATAGAAAGAGAAACCATTGGAATGAGTTTGCCATTTCCATTGTAACCTTTATTTTGTTCAATAAACCATATAACATTTTCTAATGTGTTCTAAACTTCGAAACAAGATTCTCTGTATTTTTTTGTTGTTGCTAATATTAATGAGGAAACAAAATTTTTTGTTACAATATGAGTGTTCGTTTGGTATTCATAAAAGCCATAGAGAGATCATGCCTCAATTTTCCAAGTAAAAATCAATCATAGTTAACCACGTACCGTGAGCGGTTTAAATGATAAAATATTCGACATTCGACAGTTTCTGAAGATTGGTAATGAGTTATAGGCTTATAGCCCGCAACCCTTCGGTTACATAAAAAATAAAAATTAAATTCACCAGTTAAATTTATATTGTTATGAGAATAATTTGTTTGCCAATTCTCTTACCAAAAAAAAAAAACTTTGTTTGCCAATTTCAAACAATAATAATAATTTGTTTGCCAACAAATTCTTATATATTATTATCATATTTTGTAATTCTTTACCTTGTTGGTAATATAAGAGCCCAGCAATAGTATAAAAAGTAAGTTATTCAGCCTAGTAACTATAAGCCCAATTAAGGCCCAATACATGTTAATTACTTATTATCTCAGGCCCATACATAATTAAAAAAAAAATTATGGACGTAAGAGTACAATAAAAATGAGAAATTATCTGGAAAAGCTGAATCAAATGTACACACACATGAGACTGAGAATCTAACTTTAGGCTTCTCTAATTATGATTCATCAGAGACTTTAATTAGGTTTCAAATTTTAATAAAGAAGAAGAGTCAAAGTTATTAAATTTAATGGTCACAGCTTTTATTTATTCATTAAGCTCTGTTTCATTTTGCTGCGCGAGAGAGAAAGAGAAAGAGAGAGACAATGCCGTTGGTGAGGTTCAAGATACGGAACGAGCTAAGCTTAGGTGGGCCGGAGATTCAGCGTAGCGCCGCCGTGGAAGATGAAGAACCTAAGGCGATTCTCGGCGCTGTTGAAGTGGCTGGACTCATCGGTATTCTTCGTCAGTTAGGCGATCTCGCTGAGTAAGTTCTCGTTTTTCAACTGTTGCATACACAAAGAAGATTGAAATTTGGATACTTGCAAAAAGCCCTAAGCTCTGCAGCTTTTTCTTGTGATTAGGATGAGTTTTAGCTCATCAATTTTATCTTTAGTTTGAGTTTTAGGGGTTTCAGTAACATGCTATTATTTGATTTTCTTCAGGGCTTAGGGCTTTTTGTAAAAGTTTTGATTTTTAAGCTCAGTTCGTAGAGTTAGTAACAAATTAAGTGTCTCTGAGTGGTTAAGTGTTAATTAGTGAATGATGAGTAATGTCCTGGAAGTACCTCAACATAGTTGTTAAGTTGTGTATCAGCTGAAATGAAGTAAAGATTAGGAATTTATTTGGACATCTAATCTATTGATGATGAGAAACTGAAGTTTCTTAATGGGAACTAAGAATTATGTGGTTTTGGTTGTTTACCCGGGGAGATTAGCCAAGTGACGTTTTACGTTTTGCAAAGTTGATCTCCCATAATCAAAATCCTTTTTTTTATCATTTGAATGGAGCGAGACGTAAAACTTGCTAAAAGCGAATGTAAACTGATAGAGAGTTCTTTAACCAGGTGGCATTTCTTACATGTAGATTTTCCGCAGAAGTATTTAACGGCTTACAAGAAGAAGTAACTGTAACGGCATCTAGGTGTCAGAAGTTGACAAGCCGTGTTAGACGGATAGAGTCAGCGCTGTCACCTCTTGAAAAGGCTGTTCTCTCACAGACAAGCCACATACACTTTGCATACACTGCAGGTATGGCTTTGCTATCATCTATAAGCTTCAGGTCTAACTTTTGATTTCTGTTTTGAAGGTTCTCTATGTCTTTATATCTTTTTTCCTGTACCACTCTTGCTGTCTTATCCTACCCCTCGCTTGTGTAGAGGGATGAAAGCTTTTATGAACACATCTCCACAATTTGTGTGACATATTTTTGTGATCTCTTGGACAGAAAAATTCTTAGTCTTTCGTTTTTGTTTCTCCTGTAGGTTCCGAGTGGCATCCTCGTATAAGGAATGGACATAGTCATTTTGTTCAGAGTGATTTACCACTGTGTGTTATGGAAAGTTATGAACAATGCAGAGATCCTCCTCCGTTGCATCTGCTTGACAGGTAACGGACAAGCTTTTAGTTCATTCTAATATATATAGAAAATAAAGCATTGGATCTTTATTCTGAAGTGGCTGATTTTCTTCCTCCTTGCAGATTTTCTGTAGGTGGTCCTGGATCGTGTCTGAGAAAATACTCAGACCCAACATTCTTTAGAAAGGAATTAAGCAACACCAGTAAAACAGATGATATCAAAGTCCAGAGAGATCAGGCTCACCGCAAAAGAAAGGTCTGTAATTATCCTTTTTGGTTTAGGTTATACTGGCTAAACCATTCGAAGAGTTTCTTTTCTGCTTATGCGCTCGTTTCGTCTTCTTACATACCTCGTATCGGAATTGACTTGTAAAAGAATCGTGTGACTTGAAAAAATATAATTCGTTAGACATCTCAAATGCTATGGTTTTTTATTCTTGTGCTTTTTTGGCTGTCGTCTGCTGTTTTTTTCATCTGATTTGTGCTTTGCTGAAATGACAGAAAAAGAGGTTACCACAAAGAAACATTTGCAGATCAAATGCAGTGTCTACATCTGATGAAACTAATGGGTGGGTTATTTTAAAATATAGATGTAGTAGTTCTCGTCCATTGAAGTTCCATATTTGCAGTGTAGTTGATCTTGACAATTTCATTTGTTAACATGAATTTCTGTGCAGGGCTCATCTCAGTAATCTTACTGATGACAGACAAACAACTTCTCAGAGTACGTCCACAGTTGACATGCCACGTAGCTCTAATATGCAAGATTTATCTGATACCGTAGACCAATCTCATCTGCAAGGGCAGTCAGATGCGCAAGAACAAAGTGAAGCACAAGTACAATCTGATTTCCAAGAGTCATCAAAAGCTCGCGATTCTATAACTGGTTCAGGTTATATCGAGTATGTCATCAATCAAAGTCCTGTTAATGAGCCTGAAGTGAAGCTAGTAGAAGGATTTTTGTCTGGGTCCTTACAACCTGTTGATAGAATAGGTTCAGCTGTTCCTGCAGGCTGCATTGAAGTTGTAGATGATAATATCCTATATAACCCCTCAGAAGACCTACATGTGCCTTGTGCTTCTATTGTTTGTGATGAGAAGAAAGAAACACTTGAATCAATGGTGGTGGAGAAAAGCAGCGAAGATGATGAACCATCAGAGATACATGAGTCAAAATTTGGCCCAGTAACACCAGACAGGGTAAGGCAAAATCAAAGGGACTTTGATAGGACGTATATTTTGTTTGATGAGGTAGATATTGTAGGAGAAAAACAAAGTAAGAGCCAGGCCAACAATATTAATGGAACACTAGGAACTGAGAACGAAGGAGAAAATAAGAGTGAACATGAGAGTGAAGCAGATGAATTTGTGGATGCACGTAATACAATTGAATCAGAATCGGAGAGTGATATGGATGGAGTACCAAAACCGAAACTGGAGCATTACTTTGGGGATATTAGTACTTATTGTTCGGAAGATGCTAACAGTGACAACGATGATGGATCAGAAGATATACAATATGAAGAAATGGCACATGATCCACGCCATGAAAATTCTGAAGATGAATCTTGTTCAGGTTCTTACCTTCCTGAAGATTCAAATGTTTCATGTTACATGTCAGATCCAGTGTGTGAGAAAACTCTGTCTCATGATGAGAATTCTCAAAAGCCATGGGAATTTTTTGCTAGCTGCCCTTCGTTATTGGCTGAAAAAGCCTTTCCGGATGTAACAATTTTGCGAGAAGAACCTGTCGCCGCACATCACGTGTTGGCAGGAGACGGTGCTAATGAAAAGATATCATCTAAAGAACCTATTTTCCCATACCCGTGTCTGAAAGATTCTATTCCTGCTGAAAAGATCTTGCCAGAAGAACATTTGGTCAACTATCCATCTCTCGCAGAAGCTATTCCCCGTGAAAAGATCTCGCCAGGAGAGTCTATTGCCAAATATCCATCTTTTGCAGAAATCGTCCCCCAAGAAAAGATCTTGTCCGAAATGTCTCTTCCTAAAACTCCGTCTTTGGAAGAAGCTGTGCCTGAAAATATGACCCCAGCAGGAGAACCTGATGCTACTCATCCATCATTTCCCGAAGCTGTTCAAGACAAGAAACTTTCACCAGAAGTTCTTAATTCGAAAAAAATTTCTGTGCCAGAAGCTATTTTACATGAGCCAATCTCACTTGAAGAGTTTGTTGGGATATATCCATGTTTGGCTGAAGCTGTTCATGATGAAAGGTTCTCGACAGAAGAGCCTGCCACCACATGTTTGTCTTTGACAAAAGCCATGCCTATCGAAAAAGTATTTCCAGAAAAACCTTTGGAATCGTCTCATTGTTTGGCAGAATTGCCTAAAGAAGAGATATTGCAAGAAAAAACTGTTGATTCTACACATCCATCTTGTGCCAAAGCTGCTGCAGAAACAAATTTATCACAAGAAGTTCTTGATGCCTCAAACTTGTCTGTGGCAGAAGAATTTGTTGGCATCAATCCGTGTTTGGTAGAAACAGTTCCTGATGAAAGGCTCTTGCCAGAAGAACCTGTCACCACATATCTGTCTTTGACAAAAGCTGTGGCCATTGAAAAAGTCTTGTCAGAAGAGATTTTGGAAACATATCCTTCGTTGGCAGAATTGCCTGAAGAAGAGATTTCACAGGAAGAAACTGCTGATGCCACACATACATCTGAAGCTGTTAGTGATGAAGAAATCTCCGCAGAAGTTTCTGATTCCACAAATTTGTCTCTTGAAGAAGCTCTTCCACAAGAGCAAATCTCACTTGAAGAATTTGTTGGCATAAATCAGTGTTTGGCAGAAGCGGTTCCTGATGAAAGGTTCTTGCTAGAAAAGCCTTTCGAAACGTATTCTTCTTTGGCAGAATTGCAGAAAGAAAAGATTTTGCATGAAGAAGCTGATGATGGCATGCGCACATGTCTTTCTGAAGCTTTTACTGATGAACAAATCTCACCTAAAGTTCTTGATTCCAAAAATTCGCCTGTGGCAGAAGCTGTTCCACATGAGCAAACCACACTTGAATATTTTGTTGGCAGAGATCCATGTTTGGTAGAAGCTGTTCATGATGAGAGGGTTTTTCCAGAAGAACAGGTCACCTCATGTATCTATTTAACAAATGTGGTGCCTATTGAAGAAATCTTGCCAGAAGAACCTTTAGATGCGTGTGCATCTTTGGGAAAATTGCCTAAAGATAAGATCTCACAAGAAAAATCTGATGAGGCTACACATCCGTCTTGTGCCAAAGCTGAAAGTCATGAAAATGTCTCACTGCAAGTTCTTGATTCCACAAATTTGTCAGTGGCAGTAGCTATTTCACATGAGCAAACCACACTGGACGAATTTGTTGGCGTAGATCCGTATTTGGGAGAAGCTGTTCTTGATGAAAGGGGTTTGCCAGAAGAACTTGACACCACATGTCTGTCTTTGACAAAAGCCGCGCCCCTCGAAACAATCTTTCCAGAAGAACGTCCCGAAGTGTATCCTTCTTTGGAAGAATTGCCAGAAGAAAAGATCTCGCAAGAAGAAGAAGCTGATGATGCTACTCATCCATATTTTTCTGAAGCTGTTTGTGATGAGAAGATCTTGCCACTGGAAGATCCTGGTTCCACATATCCATCTTTGGAAGAATCCGTTTGGTACGAGGAGACCTCGCATGAAGAACTTGTGGGCACAAATCCATTTTTGGAATTAGCTGTTCCCAACGAAATGGGTTTTCCAGACGAACCTGGCGTCACATATCAGTCTTCGGCAGAAGCTGTTTCTAAGGAAAAGAACTTGCCAGAAGAAGTCTTACCTACATATCCGTCTTGGGCAGAAGTTGTACCTGATGAAAACATCTCGCGAAAAGAACTTGACTCCACATATCAATCTTCTGCAGAAGCTGTTTTTGATGATAATATCTCAGGCTCAGAAGCTCCTGGTTCCACAACAGAAACTGGTACACAGAACAAAACCTTCACTGAAGAACCTTTTGCCACGGATATTTCCTTGAACGAAGCAGTTTTTGATGAAAAGATCCCAGGCTCAGAAGCTTCTAGTTCCACAACAGAAACTGGTCCACACAACAAAACCTTCACTGAAGAACCTTTTGCCACGGAAAATTCCCTGAACGAAGCAAATTTTGATGAAAAGATCCCAGGTTCAGAAGCTCCTGGTTCCGCAACAGAAACTGGTCCACAGAACAAAACCTTCCCTGAAGAACCTGTTGCCACATATATTTCCTTGAACAAATCAGTTTTTGATGTAAAAATCCCAAGCTCTGTTTCCACAACAGAAACTGGTCCACACAACAAAACCTTCCCTGAAGAACCTGCCACGGATCTTTCCTTGGTCAAAGCTGTTTTTGATGAAAGGATCCCAGCCCCAGAAGCTTCTAGTTCCACAACAGAAACTGGTCCACACAATAAAACCTTCCCTGGAGAACCTGTTGCCACAACTCTGTCCTCGACCGAACCTGTTTTTGAGGAAAAGATCCCAGACTCAGGAACTCCTAGTTCCTCCACAACAGAACCTGATTCACACAACAAAACCTTCCTTGAAGAACCTGTTCCCAACGAAAATAATTTGCCAAAAGAACCTGCTGCTGCATATCTGGCTTTGGCTGAAGGTATTCCTGACCAAAAAGTATTCTTGGATGATGCCGCACTTTTGTTATTTGCAGAAGCTATTTTCGATCAAAAGTTTTCACCAGAAGTTCCGGATTCCACATATCCTTCTTTGAAAGAACCAGAAATGCATGTTGCCGCACCATCTTTAGTAACAGATCTTCCTGCTAAAAACATCAAGGTAAAAGAAGGTGAAGTACATAATGAACCCTACACAGCATCTGACGTTTCTATGAATCAGAAGAGTGGTTTATTGGAACCAGAATCTACTGAAAGAACAATTCCCTCCACTGGTGGTACTGTCTCGCTTTCTCCAGAAACTCAGAAATCTCTTCCAAGTGGTACAAGTGTTGAATCAATAAGTATATGGAGCAATGGAGGACTCCTTGGACTTGCGCCATTGAAACCTCCAGTTTTTGCTGAGCCTAATTCTGTAAGCCAACATATACAGAACGAGATCAACGAAGCTAGTGTTCTTTCGACAAGGAAGCGGGAAGCATCAAGCCGATCAGTTGAAAATACTGAGAAGAGCTCACTTCCATTAGTTGTTTCAGATCCCACGTCTCAACAACACAGCAACATGTCGAGTCTCTCTCACATGCAGAGCACTGGAACATCATTCAGAGTTTTTGGCTTAAGTCATAGATTACTCATGGCTGGGTTTCGAGGAAACTCTTCTTCAACTTGCAAATTTGAATCCGTACCTAGTAGTAGCTATGATACCGGGGTAGCAGCTATCGAAGACAAGACTCGGAAAACTCCTGGTGGCTCAAGCTTTGAGGAGCAATTGGATTATGAATCATCTCTCTTTGGCTCGCCTACTTCATCACCACCGGTTGAACATATGAAAATATCATTCAACACAATAGAAGCCTCTCCAGTTCCTAAATTGAAACTGAGAATCCCATGCCAACCTCGGTACAATGGTGAAAATGCGGATATGTTCCCTTCGTTTCAGTTGGTTCCAGAGGCTAGCAACTCCGAAGACGACGACGACAACAGTGACACCTTTTGTCAGTCATCTCCTTGTGCTTCCGACAATTATTTGTCAAATTCTGAGCTGTGGGAATCTGATGAAAGCCCTAGAAAATCTGTATCAAGCTTGAAGCAAATTGAAGAGAGAAGTAGACATGGTGATATGGGTTCTTTTTCTGGTTCGTTTCTTGATCTTCCATGTTACGACGCTGTAGATCATCAATCCACATCTTCAAGACTAGAGCAAGAACAAGTTCCAGAACACAAACCATCTGTCTCAGAGATCATCCGTCATTGGCCACCAAACCAACCAAAAAGCAGTCCCAGTAATGAAGCAAACTTAGACGCAAACACGGTTCTGAAGAAAAAGCAAGATCAATCTCTCGGGTACTTATAGAAAAACTCACTCTCCTTTTGTTCCCTTAATCATTTTTGCATTAGTCGTAGATCATTAGCCTGATGACACTAACAAACAAATCCTTCACTGTTAATTAGGCTTGTAGCTACAGATGATGACGGTGAAAGCTAAATCGGTGATAGTGTTTGTCTTGATGAACATAAAACCAAAAGGATCTAATTGATTCTTTGTTGTACATTCCTCTCTGTCATTTCATTTTTCAGGTAAACAAACACTATTTATAAAATCAGAAATTTAAATTTGATGCCTGAAAAAAAGAAGATAATAGTTTATTTTAATTACTGCATTTTTTGTATTTTATCAAATTACATTTTTTTGTTTTGTTATATAGAAAACAAATAATAGATGACACTTATACGACGATCTTGAAGTCGTCATTAAATTTAGAAGGTGACATCAGGAACGATCCCGAGCTCCTTAAAAGCAGCGGGACATTCAGGTGAAGGAGTCTTAACCATGAAACCGAGAGGGTTAACGATACGTGTCTCGTGAGAGACGATTCCATCATTCGCGGTCAAGCTGATCTTAGCGGCGTTACGTAGGTAAGCCTCTTTGCTAACGTCACTGCAACCACTGTCTGGTGATTCGACGAGCACAAGCTCGCAAACTTCCTCCTCGTGGTCACCGGTAACTTCCATTCTGTAGCTCCCTGTTTTGTCCGTGACGGCTTCTTTTGTCAATGTTACGGTTCCGTTTGTTCTGCTCCTGCACTCTAGCTTCACTTTCGCTCCTACAGAAAACAATGTAGAAATTTGAATAACCATAGGTACTAATAACATAAACAATGTGTAATGTGTAGTATATAGACGTATGAAAATGTTTACCTTCAAGGAACTTGCTGAGACGGGTAACGAATTGGACACGGCATGTGTCACAATAAACCGATCCTTGAATTTGGAAACGGTCAAAGTCATCGGCGTCAGCCATGGCCACGCTGGCGAGAGAGGACAGGCACACGGCGGAGACAAAGAAGAAGAAGATGGCTTTGGACGCCATTTGTTCAAAATGTTAAAGATTCTGGTCTTCTTTTTGATACCTCTTCTCTTTTGTAATCGTTTGCTTTTGTTGAGATGTTAGAGAAGAGGACAACTAATTCACAAGAGCCACAAAGTTCGGTTTTATACAAAAAAATAAAAATAAAAACCATTTGTTATTTTTAGCTAATCAGAAAATAATCGTTCATTAGTTAGTTCGTTAATTCTTTTAATTATAGCCTCTAATGTCCAATTGCGTGACCTTTAGTGTCCCTATTTTTCTCTCTTTGGTTTCTCTCCTAATATTAGAAAGAACAAAAACATACACATAACCAATTTTATGTTTGAATTTAAACAACATGAAACATAAACTTTGTTGGATTTATAACTAATAAGTAATAACCCCATTAGGATAGTCAATACAATAAGGCTTACTTTGATCTTATTATCAATCTTTAGTTATCCAAGAGTTTACATCTTCTCCTTTTTCATCCAGTTTCCATATTCAGGTTCGAGTTTGGCTCGGATTTACACTCGTCTATTCGGCTTTTATTAAGCTGGAAAGCCGGATTAACCCATGCGCCGCAGCTACATTGCATCCCAGCCCAGTTGAAATAACCTAACCGACCGTTACATCCAAAACAAAGAAGCTTCTCTTCCACTAATCCATCATGTACTGCAAAAGTCAAATAGTGTAAAGATCATTAGAAAGAAACCGCAAAAGTTATTGTTGAGATACATAGTAAAAATTTCTATATAGAGTAAAGAGCTTTTTCAAAGATTCTCACTTGTCTGCATCCATTTCATAGGCTCGACAAAGATCGAAGAGCATTGCACTTGTTCAGAGTTACCACTCCTCTTTTTCCAAGCAAAGCATTCTTCACCCTTCCCCGGTTCATGCGGTACAATGTTTTCCTCAATAGCGACTATCCTTCTACATTTCTTACATCTATACATGACTTGCGGCTTCGGGGTAGGCTTCAGGAGAGACTCCTGCGAAGAAGAATTGGTCTCCTCTACCTCTACCTCCATTTGCAATTCAGTCATAACTTCTCTTCTATCTAAATCAAAGAAAGAGAAATCTCAGACTAAATTCAATCTGAGTATATCCAGATAGTTGAGGATCAACATAAATCTTCAGTTTCTTGTTAAATCGAAGTGTAAGTTTTGATTTTGAAGCCACCCCACAATTCTGAAACAGAGCAAATAATCTACAAACAAAATGATCCAATGTATGTTCTTAATTTCAGAATCATCCTCAAATCCCTAATAAAAAAGTTGACAGCTTTCCAACAAACAATTGGTTTCCTCCACCACATGAGTCACTAACCCTACACTGATTCATCACACGAACAATCAAGAGATAGCGAACATGAATTTCAATTGCAAGAGTCAAGATTTACACAAAAAGTGAAAAAAAATGTATCAGAATCAGGGGCGAAGAAGAACAGTACCAACCACAGCTCAAACCCACAAAAACCCTAAAAGAGATATCTATTAACCTCCACGAAACACACAAAATTTCAAGCAATAAAAAAACTTAGAAAAATTCTTTTAGATATCAGAAAACAAGAAAAAAAGGAATCACCTTTGCCCAGGGATGGTGTTGCTTACACTGATTTCTTCTTCGTGACAAATCTGTTCGGTTTAAGTTTAGGTTTTGTCCTATGATTTCTTCCATAATGGTTACATCTCCCAATATCCCGGTATAACAGCTAAATCTCTCAACAACCCGGTTGAACCGGGCCAGTTCTCAACGGTGTTGTTTATAAACTTGGACTGGGCCGTGGGCTAAAGTTGATAGATAAACAAATTTTAGAAAATAGAAATTAAAATTTTAGAAAACATTACTAATCTGCCATTTCCTTAACATTTTCTGCCACATTCTGTGTATAATTTTCTGGTCAACAATTTTGTGTGCTGTTTCTGTTTTAGTTAAGATTTTTTTTTTCTTATTGAAAGTTTTAAAGTAGTATAGTTTTATACCATTTACAATCTAGGATCCAAATGTGATGGAATCAAAAGAAAAGCAAAGAGAACCAAACAACTAAACAAGAAACAAATGATTCATAGTCAGATACATAATTCAAAGACCTAAGATTGAACCATGAAACTAAACATGAAACAAAAGAGCTTCAACACTAAAGATCAACGAGGCATATCAATAGCTCCAACCCAAAGAATCGACAAGAGAAGTGCTAGCGACATTCATCTCCAAAACCCTGTGATTTAGATGAACAAGTGTTTAAACTCACCATTTGCGAGCTTACATAGTTCATTGTAGTTTTGCACATCTGCAAACAAGCAAGATCCAAATCAAGACACAAGAATTTGCACAACCAGAGCTTAAAGGAAAGATTTTTGCTTTAGATTCATACCAAAACTATCACCAAAGTTGGTCCAAACTTCAGCTCGAATGGTGTTCTCAGTCTCAGCAATTCCAATTACCTCAATGTAAGTAGTTAGAGGCGGATTAGGCGAACCTTTAACAACAATCTGTTGATCATCAGTTGATTTACCAATCACTGATCCAATATCTGACCTGATAACTTGAATCACAGCTCTCACTTTCTGACCAATGTACCGTCTCAACAAAGCTCCATTAACAAAAGCAGCAGGACTTGATGTATCCATTATCTACAAATCAAAAGACTCTTTAGTCTTCCTCATTGAAACTAAATCAAACTCATATCATCTAAGTCAAAATCAAAGTAATTATCCTCAAATCTTGAATCAATTTGGCAGTGTCAAACCCTAATTAGCTACCAAACGAATCAAAAAGATAGATTTAGACCTAAACATCAGAAAACTCTATATATAAGAAGATATTAATAAAGCCTTGTGCTTTAACAGTACCCGGAAGAGGAATTGGGAGACGCCGGAGACAATTTCCGGTGAGGTTTCGGCGGGAAGAAAACCCTAACTTCTGGATTTACGAATGAGAGAAGAAGAAGGAGAGGTGGAGAAATAATAAAGTGTTAACCGAACCGGTTTAAGGGAAGCTAAACCGCTAGAATTTGGTTTAATTTATGACACGTCAGTAATTTACATAATTGTACATAAATTAATTGGAAAAGGTTACAAAAAGGAAACAAAATAAAAAGTAAAAACCCTATTTATATCGCTAATAAGATTACACACCAACGCTAATCTCTAGTTTCGCCACCGCTAATCTCTTCTTCTTCTCTGACTGAGTTTTGATAATTCGTCGACGATCAAATTTCTGGAGATCTGACTAACAATTTTCTCTTAATCTTCGAAAAGGTAAAATCATATGATTATTTTGAGAAGTTTTATATATTCAGTAATAATTCTCCCTTCATTTGTAAATTTTCTTTGAAGCTTTAGCCTTTAGGTTTGGGACTGTTTATATTATTACAGAAAATTAGGGTTTGCGTTATATTTCTTGCAGAGTAATTTTCCTGTGAATTGCTGTTTCGAACGATCTGAATTTCTTTTTTTTTAGATGGTTTTCGCCGATTGTGTATACAAAGATGATAACTTTTCGTTTGGAGATTTCATAATCTATTTAGGGTTCTTCGTTATCTCTTCTTAATCCGGTTAGCATAATTCGTCAAATCTTTTTTAGGGTTTCCTTAGATTTGCGCTGATCTCTCTGGTTCTCATAAAAATTGTTACAATTGCTTCACCTGATGATGAATCTAAACAGGTACCGTTTTTGAATCAGGACATGGCAACATTGGCACCAGGTCATGCTGTTTCGTATTCTTGGAAGAGGGGCGGCTGCAATGGTAAGCTCACTTGTCACGGTTTGGTCTTTTTTTTAACAATCTGATATATCCTTTAGGTTCCTTCTGTTTCAAGTTCTGAGTTTTTGATCCGGAAATTTTGTGTCTTGATTGATTTTTTGTCAGGAGTTCCTTTACCATATTTGATCCGACCTCGTAGGATATTTCCCCCTATTGATACGTTTCCCTTCTACAACGATTCATCTGATGATGAAGGTGACTCATCAATGAATGTTGTTGAATCCTCCACTTTGGACGACAAAGGTAATTGCTTTGGCCTTGTAAATGCAAGTTTATCTTAAATGGGTAGCTATATCCGTTCTTTATCTCATTCTTTGTCGATTTGGTTTATCGATATGTAATGTCTTTGATAATTTCTGGCAGATGTTTCGGCAGGTCATTCAGACGACGAATATGTAGTCGTTGACAAAGCTGAAGCTATTATGACCAATTCTAAAACAGAGAAACCAGGAGCAATTCAAATGGTGTGCATTCTAGTTTCTCATAACTTTTGGCATGTCTTTCTAACTATAATCTTTCTTCTGTTTAAATTTTCCTAACAAATACGTCCTTTTGTTTTCAGATGGAACTCTCAAAGGATACAGTTGGTGATGATGAGTCTGGAGCCAAAGATGCTGGATACAGCAGCGATGAGTGGGTGGTTGTGTAAATTAAGAGGTGCAATCAGAATTTCAGTGTTCGAGTTTGGGGTTTTAGGACAATGCAATTAGTTTACTTTTGTCTCTTTGAGATATTTCTTATCCGTTGACATTTTTGTGAAGCTTTTTATCAGTACATATGATAAGATGGTTTTTTCCTTTAAATATGAACTATTTTATCTTTTTCTCAGCAAGAAGAGAACGTATATTCACAAGAGTTATAGGTCTTTTAAGACGAGAAAAAAACAAATTAAATCGAGAAGATGACAACAAATACCAATGAGGTGGATTATATGAAGCTAAGATTGCTTCTTTAACAAGGGGTAGATCGAAAACAAAGTTTATGTTGATGTGTTTGGCTTTGACACTGAACATGACATGATCTTGCTTTATCTCTTAGCTCTTGAAATGCCTTCATTGTCTCTGCATCAAATCCTCCGGCAAACTGAACAAAAATAAAACAGATTTTAAGAGTAATGTTGTAACAGAACCAAATTAAAACAGAAGATGATCAAGGTCTTTTAACTTTACCTGATGAACACGGAATGCGAATCGAACGCCTTGAACAATTAGCTCTTCCTCTTCAGGGCCACCACCTTCAATAGCCTCGAGCTCTGCGGATACTCTCTTCATATACTTCATCGCTAGTTTCACCGATGCCAGTTTAATCTAAAATCACATTCATAACACTACACACTTAATTCAAAACTTTCATATCTTTACCAAATTACAAGTTCCTCAAGAAATATGAGATTTGCATGACTTATTAAAATTGCACATACCCCAATTTGAGCACACTACACTTAACATTAAGACTCAAAGAGTGACAATGAAGGCATAAAAAGTCTTTAGAGAATCTGATTCCATTCCCTATTTGATTTGTCTATTATAATCCCAAAGCAACAACAAAAGAAACAGACAAGAAGATACACTTGACAAAATCTTGAAATTCCCAGGCGTGCACATAGAAAAACCCCACAAAACATTAAAGTAAACAATGTATTCAAGTTTACTTTTGCTAAATATTTGTATTTATCTGAAAATTTGTCATGTAGCACATAATAGTTTTAACCATGTAAACAAGCAAAACAAATAATAGAGTGAAGAACAGTATCAAAACACAATTTCACAATTGTCCTGCCATCAACAATTGACTTTTATCATAAAATTGGGGACCATGAGAATTGTTGTTCTCGTCTACCCCTCTATGTTTTCTATATTCCAAAATAAATTTTTTTCATCCAATCAAATTGCAATAATTGCACCAAAATTATGGGACTATTTAAGCAGAACCAATATTTTAATCTAGCAAGAAACACAGTATGTAAAATTGTAAATCCCGGTTTATGTTGCTGACCTGGCTGGTTATACCGGTTTCGAGCATCCAATCAACCGGAATCTGGAAACTCTTGAATTTTGTCGCCGCCGATTCTTTCATCCTCGATAGACTATAAACACCATGCTCTAACCTTTAAAAATCAACAAAAGAATCTTCATTAGTTATCTAAAGAATCTGAATTTGAAATGAATCATCAAAGAATGGATTTTTATATTTACTTTTCAAATAAAGCTTGCATTTTTTTAAGAGCAGAGCTAGAAGATTGACGTGGATCTTCCCGGAAACGAGAAGCTTCTGATATGAGTTTCTTCAGATCGAAATAACAAAACGCTGCTTCACGTAAAGCATCAGCTTTTTGCTCCGGCCATTCGAAATGTTTCAACACTGCTCTCTCATCAACCTTCAAAGATACAACACCAAAATTGAATAATCCCAGAAATTTGGTTTAAGTTTTGGGAAATTTTGAAAGTTTTCATTCATACCAGGTAAGAGAGTTCGTCGTCGAGCCATTTGACGAAAGGAACAACGTCTTCAATATCTGAAAACGCAGCGTTTTCGACTTCTTTGATCAAGAATCTTATGAAATCTCCTTGCGTTTCTACGTCGGTTTTTATCTGCAATTTTCGGTTTAAAGTTAAACCAAACCGGTTTTTGATTTTAAATTTTGAAAGTTACTTGGAAAAGGACGAGGAAAAAGTGGAATGACTGGTCAATTCTCACTGACGCAAGAAAGTCAGAGAAACTAAACCGAAATTTACTGAACCGGTTAAAGAGGATTTTTACCGCGAGGAGATAAACCGATCGGTTTTCGATTTCTCCGATCATATCTCTGGCATTGGAGCTAGCAAGTATCGCCTCCGCGGCGGCGTTTCCACCGCCGGTGGAGTCTCTTCTCGAGTTTGTGGAATCTCTTCGCATCAATGAGTGATAAAACTCCACCACTTCCGGTACTCTTCTTACTTTCGCCGACGCAATGCTTGAACTCTTCGGCGGCGGTGGTGGAGGAGGCGGAGGAGGAGCTTTGGAAACGGAAGGAGGAGGTGGTGGTTGTTGAAGAAGCGGTGGCGGAGGTGGAGGAGGAGGCGGAATCGATTTCTGCGGCGGCGGATCTGCTCTGTTCTCCGTGGAATCACCTAATGAAAAAGACCGTTTCGGCGGTGGTTTAGGTACTCTCGGAACTCTAGATCTGACGGCGGAGAGAGATGATGACTCAGTGAGTTCATCCGAGTTACTATTCCGTGAATAACTCTCGATCTCGTCTTTCCGATAAATGTCGCCGTCGGCGTCTCCGGATGATGAAATGCTCTTGTTGTTCTCATGATTAGTAACCGGGTCGGGTACATTCCTCAACGACCCGACCCGTTTTAAACTTCTGATTAGATTCGATTTCGCCGACACATCCATTAAACCCTGAAACCTCTGAGAAACAGAGAGCGCGTGATCGTCACTCTCCGACGAAACAAGTTTCCGAAGCTCCAACATCTCCGCCTCCATTTCCTTCTCTCTTCTTTCGGTTTCTCTCCTCATTTCCTCGCTCCGGTCAAATTCTCGCCGTAATCTATCGTTCTCTTCCGCTAACCTCGCCGTCTCTTTCCTAAACTCCTCGATTTCACCGTTTTTCTCCGCGATCTGCGATTCAAGCAACGGAATAACAGAAACAGATTCTCTAAGAAGCTTAACCTCGAGATTCTCCGTCTTTAACAAAGCTTCTCTCTCACGAAGCTCCTCAACTTGACGACGAAGCTCAGAGACGACGCCGTTATGAGAAGCAGCAGCAGCAGTAGCGTGAACTTGAGCGGAAGCGCGTGGGAAATAAACACCGAAAGAGCGAGTGAAACCCGGTTTACTAGGATTAATCGGCGGTTTAGTAGTAGTAGCAGAACCGGAAGAAGGCGGTTTAAGAGGAGGAGGAGGAGGAGGAGGAAGAGGTAAAGGAGAAGAAGGCATATCCTTAGTTTTTTTAGTAGAAGGTGATTTGTGAAAACCCATTGTTACACGAACCTTACCAGCCACCATTGATGGATGATAAAAGCTCCAAAATTTTGATTGATTTTCAAAAATGATGACTAGTTGAGAAGAAAGGAGGGATTTGCATGGAAATTAAAAGCATGTCGTTGTCCGTGCAGTTCTTGAGAGAAAGAAAGAGAGAGAGAGAGAGTGATAGTGATGATTCAAAGTTTGGGCCTTTGGATTAAGAAGAAGATGAGACTACTTTGGAGAGAGTAATAAAATTTTATTTTTTTGATATTTGTAATGTTTTTTAAAAAATAAAGAATTGGTTAAAATGCTTTAAGCTTTTTTTCGACCGTTGGAAGAATAATCCTACATTTAGCATATGAAATTGAAACTACACTGTGCTTTATTATTTTTTTAAGTACAGTGTGTACACGTATAACGAGGAACGTTCTTCTGTTCATCTTAGATTCAAATTTTAAAACCAAAGTTAAAGAACACTTTAAGGCTTTTGGTGATTCGATTTTGTTCTTTTTAGTTTACCTTTGTCTTTGACAATTTCAGTTGTGTTCGGCAATACTGACAATGGTAGACAATATATATGTATATATATAGATCAGAATGATGAAATCGTAAAATCAAATTTTTTATGAGATTACTAAAGTTAAGAATGGTAATAACTCGTTTCCAAAAAGATCTATGGTAATAACTGTTAAGATAGGTCTAAATGGTAACACGGGGAAACAATAAACGGTAATTGAGTTAATGACGATATGGTTTACTAATGGTAAGTAGCAAGATTAGTGGCATTAAACTTGTTTTAATGCTAGTTAAGCTGATTTAAATCCCACATTGAGTGTTAACTTTAATACTCTTTCTGTTTCTCAATCACGTTTTCTATTTTAATGTTAACTTTCAAACCAAAATAATAATTTTCCCTTTACTCAAAATTAATAAACTTTGTATTGATCAAAACACTTTAAGAACAAAGATGAACACAAAACAACTTCTTTATTTGCTTAGGAAACCTAACTCCAAAACCTAAGCTATACAATCTCAAACTCTCAAGTTTTACACACACAAAAACCTAAACACAATGTATCTATTTATAGGGTTTAGATGACTCCTTAAACCGCCACACATTTAGGGTTTGATAACTCCAAATCCTAAAACAAACCGACTCTCCTTAATCACTTGATTACACCGACTTTAATCTTGTCTTGGGCCTCACGTTACTCTTCAATCTTCAAGCTTAGCCCAACAATACTCCCCCTTAAGCTTGAAGTGGAATCTTCACAACATTATGAACACCCACAAGTTCACGCATCTCCTTAAATCTTATTCTTGCCAATGCTTTGGTTAGAATATCAGCCTTTTGTATCTCTCCGGGCACATGATCTACTTCCACAAGTTCCCTTTCTATACATTCTCGGATAAAGTGGTACCTTTTATGAATGTGTTTGCTCCGACCATGGAATACAGGGTTCTTGGTTAAGGCTATGGCGGATTTATTATCAAGTAGTATCAGCACCTTATTACTTAAACCTCCAATGACTTCTCCTAGAAGCTCCTGTAGCCACACTGCTTGTTTTGCGGCTTCTGTGGCAGCCATAAACTCAGCTTCACAAGAAGACAGAGCCACAGTGTCCTGTTTCTGTGAGCACCAAGTAATAGGGCATTCATTCAAGTAAAAGACATGACCTGTAGTGCTTTTGCCATCATCTTCATCAACATTGTGACTACTGTCACTGAAACCAATCAGTCTTTTCTCATTATTGCGAGTGAAACATAGACCATATGACTGAGTTCCCTTTAAGTATCTTAGAATCTGTTTCAACGCTGCTCCATGAGATTCCTTGGGCTCATGCATGTATCTACTCAAGACTCCAACACTATATGAGAGATCTGGTCGTGTGTGTAGCAAATAACGCAAGCATCCTATGTTTCTTCTGTATTCCTTTTCATCAATTCCCTCTTCCCCTTTTGCTTTGGATAACTTCAAATTTGCATCCATGGGAATATGAACTGCATTACAATCTAACATTCCTGTTTCTTCTAAGATTTTAGTGGCATATCTTTCTTGTTTCAGCATTATTCCTCCCTCATACTGAATTACTTCAATTCCCAGATAGTATGTTAGTTTGCCAAGATCACTCATTTCAAATTGTGCTGACATTCCTTTCTTAAACTCAAGTATCAATTGCAAGCTTGACCCTGTAACGAGTAAGTCGTCTACATACACAGCCACCACAAGTGATTCATCATTCTCTGTTTTTCGATACAGAGAAGGCTCTTTGGAGCATTTTATGAACTTCAGATCCATAAGGATTTTGTTTAACTTGTTATTCCAAGCTCTAGGGGCTTGCTTGAGTCCATAGAGTGCTTTATTCAACTTATACACCTTTTCTTCACTTCCTTCTTTCACAAATCCTTCTGGTTGCAGAACATACACATCTTCTTTTAATTCTCCATGCAGAAACGCTGTTTTAACATCAAGATGATGTACTTCCCATCCATTAGAGGCTGCTAACGCAATTATGAACCGAATGGTTTCTATTCGAGCTACTGGAGCAAATACTTCATCATAATCAATGCCATGCCTTTGAACATACCCTTTTGCAACAAGGCGTGCCTTGTGTTTATTAATGCTTCCATCCGAGTTTCTTTTGAGTTTAAACACCCATTTCAGTCCTATTGCTTTTGCACCAACCGGAAGTTCAACTAGATCCCATGTTTTGTTCTTTTCTATGGAAGAAATTTCTTCTACACATGCTTCTTTCCATTTTTTGGAATCTTTGGCTTCATTGTAGTCCCATGGTTCATCATTTATCATTAATAGGAGTCTTTCACATTCAACTTCAGCCAAAAGAACATAGTCTTTTAAGTAGCCTGGCCTTGTGACTTCTCTCCCAGACCTTCTTAAGGTTACTTGTGGTTGTGCTTGGTTTTCTTCAGAGGTTACTGTGATCTCTTCAGTAGCCTCTGTATCATCATTCTCTTTTTCAGTATTTTCTGCTTCTTCTATGGTACTGTCTTCCCTTATCCCATTATTTCCAAACTCACCAAGACATACACTGAACATTCCTGGTTCACTATTTTCTTCATGATCACTGCTATTCCACTTCCAGCTTTTATTTTCATCAAACACTACATCCCTGCTAACTATGATTTTCTTTCTTGACGGATCTAATAGCCTGTATGCTTTTGATCCAGGTTCTGTGCCAAGATGAACTAACATTCTAGAACGATCATCAAGTTTCTTAAGGTGTGTAGACTCTGTTTTTGCAAATCCAATGCAGCCAAAGATCCTTAAATGTGCAATATTTGGTTTCTTAGATTTGAAGACTTCATATGGAGTCTGTTTGATCAAAGTTCTTGTTGCCACTCTATTGATAAGGTATGTAGCATGTCTCACAGCCTCTCCCCACAGATAGTTTGGTATATTCATGTGTTTCATGATACTTCGTGTCATTCCCATCAAGGTTCTATTTCGTCGTTCTACTACCCCATTCTGTTGAGGTGAATATGGAGCAGTTAAGTGTCTCTTGATACCTGTACTGTTACAAAATTCTTGAAACTCTTGTGATAAGAACTCACCACCTCTGTCTGTTCTGAAAGTTTTAATAGATGCTCCAGTCTCTTGTTCTATGCAAGCTTTAAAAATCTTAAATTTCTTGAATGCTTCTCCTTTTTCTCTTAGGAGAACTGACCACATGTATCTTGAGTAATCGTCGATAAGCACAAATATATATCTATTTTGTGCTGCTGTTGGAGGTGTAATAGGGCCACAGAGGTCTCCGTGTATCAATTCAAGAATACTTGTTGCTCGAAACAGAGTTGCTTGAGGAAATGACTGTCTAACTTGTTTACCAAGAAGACATGAGCTACAAGTTTCTTTGTCAATGCCTATTTTTGGTAATCCTGCAACTATCTCATTCTGCATCATTGTTTTCATGGTGTCTACTCCAATATGTCCAAGTCTTGCATGCCACAGTCTTGAATCATTTGAAACTATAAGTTGTAGACATTTTGAGTTTTCTACTTCCATGACTACTTTGTAGAGTCTGTTTTTAGACCTTTTTGCATGTACTAGTAGATTACCATTCTTGTCAGATAAAGTCAGATTATCTTTTCTCATGTGAACATCACATCCAGCTTCTGTAGCCTGTCCAAGGCTTATTATATTGCTTCTTAACTCTGGTATGTAGTATACATCAGATAAAGTTCTTCTTTCTCCATTCTTTGCTACAAAAGTGATTGATCCTTTCCCTTCTATATTAATACGAGAATCATCTCCAAATCTCACTTTTCCTGTAATAGTTTGGTCAAGTTTTGTGAAAAAACTCAGTTTACCAGTCATGTGATTACTTGCTCCGTTATCCAAATACCATAGGTTCTCAATATCTGAATTTGTCTCAAAGATACTTGGCATAACATTCCTTTCGTTTAGAAATACAACTTCATGCATCATCAATGCATCAGCAGTTTGTGTATCTTCAGTCTTATTTTCTTGTGCTTCTTGGAGCTTGAGTAGTCTATCTGGACAATCAGAAGCATAGTGGCCTAGTTTATCACATCTATAGCATGTGATTTTACTCGCATCTCTGTATCCACTATTGTTCTGTTGATAGTTATTTCCCTGTGAGTTTCCAAACCTGCCTCTACCTCTTCCTCTTCCATAAAATCTTCCACCTTGACCTCTTCCTCTACTTGCAGACCAGTTATTTTGAGGGTTTTGAGTTTCAGAACTTGTATATAGTAGCTTTCCTTGATCATCAGAATTATCTTCTTCATCACATATCCTTTCTTCATAGGCTTTTAACCTTCCGACTATATCTTCAAAGCTTGTGGCATTGAGATCTAGTACTTGTTCTAGTGCGGCAATAATATGTATATATTTCTTTCGAGGTAGGCTATTTAGAAATTTCTTTACAAGTTTTGATTCTTCAAAGTCACTTCCAAGATCAGCTGCTTTAGTAGATAGTTCAGAGATTCTTCCTGCAAACTCATCAATTTTCTCTGAATCTTTCATCTTGATTCTCTCAAATTCTCCCATCAGAGTTTGCAATCTTGCATCTTTTACTCTGTCTGCACCTAGATTCCTAGATTTAATGGCATCCCATATTTTCTTTGCGCTATCTA